GTTATTGTTGTTTTTAATTCCGGTTTGGTTTGTTTTGGTGTTTTTTTTTTTTTAGTTGTGATTTGTGTTTGGTGGTTGTTGTTGTGGCTTTAATTTTTTGTTTTTTTTCTGTTATTTTTTTATTGTTTTTTTTTTTTTTCTTTTTTTTTTTTTTGCAATCGTTGTAAAAAAAACTATAATAATAATAATAAAAAAACCTGGCAACAGGTTAAAACCAGAAAATGGAAAGTACTTCATCTACAGTCCATGAGTTATGACCACCGAACACGGCACAATAAACAGTACCACAGGAAAGCACTGCTCAGTAGCAATTTCTTGAATAATAACACTTTAGTATTTCAAGTAGAAAAATAATAGTAGTTCCAACGGAAAGTAGTTCTCGAGTCAATTATTCAGACAAAAGTATTTCGAACCTTTGTGTCTCTGGATAGAATCAATATTTAACAAACAGAAATTTGGAATTGTTCTTAGATTATCGGTTTTGTCGCTCCTAAGAGAGTCAGAAAATCTAGTCAGCGACAGAACTTACTAAGAAGCCCCCTCGCTCGAACAAGTTCCTACTTCCGCAGAGAGCGGGCGTTTCGATGGAGATTATTTGAATATTTATTCAAATACTTAAATGTAAGAACATATTTTACGGGAAAATAAACAGCAACAAGGGAAGTTGCTTGTCTAATTTTGTCGACAGGCTACGTGACTTATCTGCAAAGCAATCAGGATATCAGTGTACCGAACAAGAACAGTGTTTTGATTGCCTGTGGGAAGCCTACGCAGACAACAGTCATCGGAACAAAGTATTGACCCCAAACTGGTCCACGCTTGCGAAATTCTTTGACGATTTGATCTGAAGGGCATGAAGGTATTTTCACGTAGCCACGTACGTGAAGAAACCATTTCTTAAATAAAATGCTATTAGTCACTTATTTAAGAACGTTTGGTTGGAAGGTGGATAACAGACATGCAGCAAAGAGCAGCCAGAAATAAATACATAAATAAATAGTAATGACGCCTATTAACCAAAGGTTAGGGAGTGTGGGCGACATCAATCGAAGGTCAAAACGGTCTTACTCAAACGCCGTGTTTTGCGTAAGTTACGTTAAACACGCGAGATGAGACTGCGTTCATCCTTCGTGGAATTTCAAACACACGCCACGCATTCGTAATAGCAACCTGGAGATGAGAATTGCACCTGCAATGAATAACTATATGTAAATAGATCAATCAATCGATCACGTGGATCAGTGGAAGTACATAAACAAATTGGTTATTCGTCTACCATACCGGTTTTAGAAAATGTTGGTTGTCGAGGAAGGAGGGAAGAGAACCAACAACAAACTCAACGCACATCTGACGCCACCTCTGTGGCATTGCTCGCCAAATGAAAACGTTACGGACAGAGTAGTATCAGAACATTCAAAGACGCAATAAAAATACAGATTCATCTAAGAAGTAGTTTTAGCTTTTATGTACAATATGGTATTAATTTGATATTAAAAATCACCTACAATACTCATTTTGCAGAAACATTACTCATGGCGAGACTTGGGTAGCTTTACAGTTTTCAAAACAGCAAATATTTAGTCGCTCTTTCACAGTAGGCGCTTCATGCGCGCCTGCAATCCCTTGAATTTGGCCAGCGTATCCTGCACTGTAGGGTCACGTGAGCAAGTTGATTCCAATTCCACTAGATACGTAGCGCAAGCATCATACAGCGAAGTCGTAAACGAAGGCCTGAAAGAGAACAAGCAACCGGTCAATGGAAAATATCAAATTTATCTAAAACCAGACTTTAATATTTGTTAGTGAAAAGTCATTTCAGAGTCCTACTTGAATTTAGGTGGAAAAATTCATGATATCTGTCACGAATATAAAAAAATAATGGTGTAATTTGGTGTAGTTTATGTACTTGAAGTTTGGTGAAGTTGCTGTGGTTAGTGAAGGTGGGGTTCTTGGCGTAGTTTGGTTTAGTTGGTGCAGTAGCTGTAGTTACTTACCTTTCATATGGCGGAGAAAGAGAAGGCGTACTCACAAACTTCATCAATAAATGATAAATAACTTCAAGAATGTGAAGAGGCCTGTTTAGACCTTGCCAGGACGGGTCCTAAAACATGTACAACGTCAAACTGAACGTTCTGTCGAACATTGAGAAGCGCTTTAATTAAGCCACGCTAAGTTTTTCTTTAATGGTAAGATATCAAGATTTCATACACTAACTTTAAGTTGTAACCACCTTGTACAATGAAACAAATAGTGCCACAAAAACGGAGTGCTCAGATACTTTCATTTGATTGCAGAGACTTTAGGATTTCAGCCACAGACTCAAAAGTTAGAACCTACTTTCACAGCGTAATAAGCAGTACCACAGGAAAAAAAACTGTTAAGTAGCTTTCATTTGAATGGTCACACTTTAGGATATCATCCACAGACTTAATAGAAACGCTAAGAGGAACACCCCGTAAAGACCCTTAAGTCAATTGTAATTAGATGGTCGTATGTTACGGCGATTTCATCAACAGAGGTAATAGAAACGCCTTATAACAGTAAAACATCATGCCTTCAAACAAACACATTAAAATGTCGTTCAATGAAAATCAAAGCTAGTCGTTGTATCTATTTTCACCTTAGCTTTGAAGAGCCTGTCGTAGATTCCATGAAGGACTGGGAAAGGGATTCCAATCTCCAACAATGTCATGAACACCCAAGTTGGGTCCCAGGCCAACTCGGCACTTTTTTTCTCAAGCTCAAGGACAATGGCGCCTACAGGCACAAAACAAAGGTGTTAGATGCTGATGAAGCGCCAGTGTTTAATCCTTTAGGTCCCAAGAGTGACCAATATCAATTTTCTCCTAACGATATCGTCAGATCATCAAGAGTAAAGGTTATGAGAATTACTAAATTGATTATCAATGGGAAAATGTTTGATATTAAACCAAATTCTCTCAACTGTTCTTAGAAGAAATGTATGGAGATCAGTTTGGAGAATTTGTATTTAGATCTTGGAGCTGAGAGGGTTAACCCTTTCAGTCCTAAATGTGGTCAAAGTCAAAATTAGACAAAAATTCCAAATTTCCATTTGTAAAACGCTTAAAAACAAATGGTAGGGAGCTCAAGCAACGGCGACGACGACGGCAGGGAAAACGTCGCTAAAAACTAAATTGCGTCCTTTAGACTTTATTGCGTCTTTTTGTAAAATGTTGGCGACTTTTCCTGCAGTTGCATTCTAAAGATTTTATCCTGGTTTAAAAAGAGAAAGGAAAATTCGTCGGTGTATATATTCACGCCCTCCATAAATCGTCGCATTAAGAGGTTTCACGTCGTAGTCGTGCAGTGAACGTCGACGAAATGTACTTAAGAACGTGATGCACATGCAGAACTGTTGTTTTCCTAAAAAAAAAAATTGTTGTCGTTGTGGTTGTGGTTGCTTAAGCTCCGTACTAACATGTGAAAGTGTCCAAGAAGTGAAATTGGAAGGGACACACCACAGGATTTCCTCTTGCCTCCCACGCAGACGTTCTCAGGGGTTCGTCACGCGTTCCTGTCCCACAGGAACGCGTGACGAACCTCTCCAGACTCAAACGTACGAACTACCTTGCAATACTTGTAGTAAAACGGTTAATCAGTGAACAAATGTTTTGACAGAAAACGAGAAATTAATTGGTTTGAAAGTGGGGAGTATCACAAGCTTGAATCGAATCCAAGTCCGTTTTCCAGATAACTTAGATTGATGTTTTACAATCGCGTGACAGCATTCAGAGTCACGCATGTAACGCAACCAATGATACTCACCCAGTGGGAAGTAGCGCTCAGAGTGAACATACATTTTTCCTAAAGAAGCAATCTTTTTACTGACGATCGCCATGCGATCACTGGGAGAATTTTGCAAAGATTCTTGGAGTTCTGTGGGCAAAAAGTAATAAATTACAGTGAAATATATGAAGACCCATAAATTGGGAGCAGGCCAATTTTGTCAAAAAGTGTCTGTTACTCTCAGTGTTCGACATACCTCCTTCTATAATGTCTTTCCACAGAGTTTCTATCAGTATGGGGTCATAGTGCCCAGCACAATGAACAATGGCGAGTTTACACTCAGCTAGTGCAAACACATCAGCAAAATCTCCATAAAGCTAAGGGAAAATAAGAACCAAGAAACTGATGTAAGTCAAACACGCAAAATAAGTGACTGAAATAGAAATTCTGTTCCATATGGAACACATGTCAAGTCAAATCTTCATCAAAAAGCATATATACCCGATTGAAAAAATGTTGTCGCTAAAAAGTATATACCATGAGCGATGAGACTTAAAGGATTTATGGGCATACGTTCATTAACAAGGCAAATTAAAAAAATCTTTCGACAAAAGTTGACATTGTTGGGAGCTGCTCGTGCGAATGCAAATCCCCAGAGTACTTCGTTTAAGAGAATGCCGTTGTCTTTTTATGTCTTCCACGAAAGCTTTTAGGTCCTATCTTTAAATTTTCAAGTTTGTGTTAATGATATGGCTTCGCCCTTTATCCGTACAGATCTCTTGTGTCCAGAACCACACGGGTGAAGTTTTGAGCTTATCGCCACGAAAACTGGACACTGTTAAACGTTTTTTAGAATGCATCGTCAGGAAAAAGCTTCGACAATGTCTTTATTTTCCAGACATTTTCCAGGTCTTGAAAATTGTTGGGTAAATTGCAAGACTTTTTTAAGAATTCAAGCTTCTGTAGGAACCCTTAAGGTCGGGAAACCGCCTACAAACAAGTCGTGGCTTAAGGCCTGACTTGTTTAAAAAGTGGTGCAAAATGTGTTTAACCAAAGACAAACAGTTATTTTGACCTTCCACTGAAAGCTGCTTTAAAATCTAGGATCTAAAACATAAAAATAAGGATCTAAATCAGGCCTGGAACTAAATCTACGACAGCCAATTACAGTGGAACCTCGATATAACGAACCTCTATATAACGAAGTCCTCGGTATAACGAACCTATATACAACGAAGTCCTTGGTATAACGAACCCCTATATAACGAAGTCCTCGGTATAACGAACCTCTATATAACGAAGTCCTCGGTATAACGAGCCCCTATATAACGAAGTCCTCGGTATAACGAACCTACATATAACGAAGTCCTCGGTAAAACGAACCTCTACATAACAAAGTCCTCGGTATAACGAACCTCTAAATAACTAAGTCCTCGGTATAACGAACCTCAATATAACGAAGTCCTCGGTATAACGAACCTCTATATAACGAAGTCCTCGGTATGACGAAACTCTATATAACGAAGTCCTCGGTATAACGAACCTTTACATAACGAAGTCCTCGGTATAACGAACCTTTACATAACGAAGTCCTCGGTATAACGAACCTCTACATAACGAAGTCCTCGGTATAACGAACCTCTACATAACGAAGTCCTCGATATAACGAACGATTTTCTTTATCCCAGTAAATAGTAAAATATATGAAAAAGAACCTCGATTTAACAAAACCTCGCTATAGCGAACGAATTTCGCCAGTCTCTCGGCCCTTCGTTATATCGAGGTTCCACTGTAAAGAAAAGTTGAAGAACTTACCGTTGTAATATCCAGAAGGCGGGAGTTCAAGACAACTAGGGCCTGATCAATTTGTCTGGAAGGAGTAGCGGTATTTATTCTGCTAAGAGCTTCATAGACTTGCATTTGAATGCGCGCCACTTCAAGCTTCTCTTCAAGTTCATGAAGAAATTCCCCCTCACCGCTTGCAGCAGTTCTCAAATTACAGCTTTTTGCACTCATGATTGCCCGCGAGAGGTACTCTAGTCTCAGCTGCAGTTTTACTTCAGAGCTAAGGAACACAAGTAACAGAAATTGTGAGAGGAGCAGAAGAGGAATTGTTTGAATGGAAATAAAATAATTCAGGTTTTATATCACAGAAGTTTACCTCTCTTTTTCGGAAAGCTTGGAGAGAACTCTAGCGGCCGCGGAATAGTTCTTCGTCTTTTCATAGTATCTCCACAGTAAATCCAGGATTTTCAGTTCATTGGGAGGTTGATGTGCGGACGATCGCTTAAGGAATGTCTCCAGGAATGGAGATTTAATCTGATAACACAAAAATCGTTTTAAGAAAATTAAAACTAAAATTTTCCTCCGAGAGCCTTGTCTTGGCAGAGGTTGGCAGAGAAGTGAGATATTCAGTGCACGTTATGGCTACATCGTAGGTCAGCCTCGTTCTTTTGTATCACTGCAAGTAATATTATAGATTTCATCATGTGTTTACACATTGTGTGCATTAGCGTGGCTCAACCGTTAATCTACAGCCAGTCTTTAGATTTGAGGTTCTTTCTATGACAAGGTAATTTTTGAACGCGTGACACAATCGTTAAAGCTGGATAGCCCGTCTGCAAACGTTGCACAGCACGCTGATGTTGAAACGTGTTTCTGCGCCTTTGAAATTTAAAGGAAAAGGCTGAAAAGCTAAGATTAAGAATAAAGAAAACAATAACTCAGGGTTGCACCTCCAACAGTCTGTCCGTAAGTGCATTGTCGATTAACCACTGATACAACACGACATGCCACAACTCATCTCCGTAGGCTAAAGAAAACGATAACATCTCTTCCATCTAGCAAAATGACAAAACAAATGCAACACAGTCAGTCCTAGTAGAAATCAAACGATGGCATTATGCATTTTTACTAGTTATAAAGCAGTTTTGAGTGTGCGACAACAAAAGGAGTGACTTTTACGCGAATGTGTAACATCTCTAAAGAAAAGGGAGTGTCGCCAGAATACCAAACCAACTTCACTTTGCTCTGAAGCGAGTGTGAAAAGTATCTAGGGAGATTTCAGGCTTTCACAAAGTCCTTTTTCTTCTCTGGTTGGTTGGGCCGTTTCAGTTAAGACCTCGCCACGAATCGTTAGCTCGGTCACTACGCCACCACACTAAAGCTCACTTCGCTGGCTTAATAGACTGCTTAAAAGCTCGCTGCTGTCGATGGAGAACTTACACTGTATGAGAGGTCAACTAGGATCAGGTCTATTGAGACTAAGGAGGGTGCGTAAAATGTGGAGCTCGCGCGCTATGCCCATTCGCCAATACTTGATAAGGGCCTGTTTACATGGAGGTGCGGGACCATAGATAGGTGAGGTAATATGTGGTGGGTCACCCCACCTATCATGTAAAATAAGTAATCATATGGACAGACGGGTTACCTCACCTAACTAGGGTCCCCTACCTCCATGTAAACAGGCTGTAAGACAGAAAAAGAGGGAAGGGTCTTCACAGGAGAAAAAAGAAATTGTGCGCAAATCTTGAACAGCAATGCCAGCGGAGGATAGTTTTTAGGCGGACGAGGAAGGAGTGTAGTCCTTCTGATTGGTTGAAGCTAATTTCCCTCGCGGCACGACAAATACGAAGCACTACTCAGATCAGCGAAGTGACACGTCATCAGCGTGGAATTTCTGCACTTATTCCTCAGACGTCATCTGGCGTCGCGAAATGTAGACTGTTTTCTCGGGCTGGGTGGAACTCAACATCAATATTTTAATGCTGAGTACCTTTCTAGAGCTAACCGAAGAAGGAACGGATCAACAAATCATATAAAAAGGATTTAATACGTACATGCTTCTCTGCGTCATGTGACGTAAGAGCATTGGGGTCTGGGGCAGGTGGTGGTCCTGGCCGGGAAGGTCTTCCGGGAGACTGGGAAGGAGCTGTTCTGACTACTAAAAGACGCTGCAAACTGTCCAGAATGCACTTGTAGCAACGTTGCCTAAGAGAAAAAAGTTACTGAAATTAGAGACAGTGGCTTAATTTGAGGCTTTACATTAGACCACATCAGCTGCCCCCATTCACTGCCATTTTAAACGCGTTGTTCAGTGTATTATTATACTGGGTTTCAGAGACTTTTCATGCGCAGTTTCAGGTTTCGGTCAAGTCCTTATAGTGACCCACGCAAAAACAGTTTTTTTCTTGGTGGCTTTGGCTTAGGACCGTGAAATCTCCACCGCACTCAATCACCGCACGCAAAAAAGCCTTTGGTACACATGGTAAAGACTTATTTGACAGGTTTGGGAACTAATATGGGCCTTACTGTGTTTGTTTGTTTGTTTGTTTGTTGTTGTTGTTGTTGTTTTTTTTTGGGGGGGGGAGTTAAGTTTACACCGCAACCAATTGCCGCATGTAAAAAAGCTTTTCGTAAAATTGGTAAAGTTTTTTTTCACAGGTTTGGGAACTTATATGGGCTTTATTGTCTTTGTTTGTTTGTTTGTTTGTTGTTTTTGTTGTTGTTTTTTTTTGGGGGGGGGGTGCGTACCTGGCCAGAAACGCCTCCTCTCCTTGGACATCACCATGAGGTTCACCATTTCTATAAAAGTGCAGAGCCAGTCCTTGGGGATCGCACTTGACCGCAGCTTGTAAACACAAGTCCACCACACCTTCATAGAATCGCACTAATAAGAGAGCAAAAGAACATTTTCCGGAAGTTAGCTGTGTAGTACCAGTAAATTCAGTGCAGCCTCACCAGAATGTCAACCCATCAAGTTTAAGGCCTTAAGCAATTGACCACTCCAGAAAAAACCATAACATACCACAATGCTCTTTGTTTGTCACCCCAAAATTTTGCAGAAGCATTGTTTTTAGTTTCTCTTAGGAGTTAAAATGGCCCCAAGAGAAACTGAGTACAATGCTTCTGCAAAATTTTGGGGTGACAAACAAAAAGCATTATGGTATGTTATGGTATTTTCTGGAGTGGCCAATACGCCTTGGTGTGGTTTACTCGCATGGACATGCAAGCCATGAACACCATTTCAAGGTTTCTTTTTAGTAGTCATCTCACCTGATTCAAAATGAGAACAAATCACATCTAGTTTAATTTGATGGGTGACTTGTCGATAACACTAAAAGAGAAAAAGAAAAAAAAAACAGAAACGTTTAACACATGTACTGTGTTCTTACAAGAATAACATCGTTCCTCATAATCGTCAAAATAGCTCTTCAACGAAATAGTCGTCCTTAAAGATTGACGTGACAAATGCCAATGATATAGAGAGACAAAGGCTTTAAAATGCTAAAAGTCATATGAACTGACCTATTTAAGAAGTATTTCTTATGCAAAGTTTTCGGGACAGAAGGTGGGATGTACGCAGTGTATGTTTGTTGCTGTAAAAGTCAAAACCCACCTGAAGCGAATCTCTTAGGATTCTTTCTTGTTCGGTTTTGTCTCTACTTCTTTTGGCCAACATTAAAAGCTCACCAGCCTATCAATAAGGACAAAACAGATTCGAAAACCAAGACATCATAAAACCTGATTGCAGATAATCACTTGTCATTTAATAACAGCCTAAAATGTACCTTTTTGTTGACAAAAGTGCCAAAGAGTTCCAAAGAACTCTTTTAAAGGTGTGGCTGAGCGTTTCAGATAAAATTCGCCACTTAAGAAATGGAGCCGAAATGTGTACCGTAATTGCTTCTGGGATTGTTACTAGTGACGTGCCTGTCAGCTATTGGCCAATTTTTTCTCCCTCTCCCCGGTAGCACTCCCAGAAGTCTTTGCGAAAGCTAACTCAGCACAGTTTCCCTCTCGTTTCTTAAGTGGCGAATTGGAACTTTGGGAGTGTAAGTTCTTAAGTAGACGAGAAAACGGGAGTACCAGGAAAATTGGCAATTTGGAGGTTGTGCTTGACACTGGACTGGTGTTGTCTCGAATTGTATCGTGGGACTGCCTGGGAAACGAATTCTCGTATGGCCAATGAAAGAAGTGATAGCATCCCCATGACAGTACCAAGATACAATTCGATATGACACTGGCCCAGACGTTAAAACGAGGATGACAACGAGGACAAGATTTTCCTAAATAGCTACTGCGCGCGGGTGAACCAGCGTCATTTTGGCGGGAAAACGTGATAGCCGTCGTAATTCTACTACGGGTTTCAGCGAGAATGTCGTGTTGGCGGAAACAAGGTTTTTTAATGTTAAAATTTTTATCGTTTTGCAATCGATAGAGGGCTTAACTTCTTGCAATAAAAATAACTGTGCTATCTCTTCTCAGCGGTAAAAAGAATAATAACTTTAATAACGAAAAATAACGAAAACTTTAAGTAAAGTCTCGTCCTTGTAGTCGCCCTCCTACTCGAATCTTCTTCATTTCGCCCCGTGTTACTTAGCTCCCTATTTTCGAATCATTTAGCGCGCTTCAAAATGTAATATTGCTCATTCTATAGGCCAGAAAGCTAAACAAGAACGCTTCAAATGTAATATTCTGCCTTCTTTAAGCAATGAACCAAAACAAGCACGCTTCAAATATAGTATTACTCGTTCTTAAAAGGAGGGCAAAGTAACCGGGGCGAAATGATTTGGGGACGAAATGACCGGTAACCCTGAGGCTAATACCTCAAAGAGAAAAGAAGAGAGTCGACAAAGATACAAATCCACATGCCCAAACTGAGTTAAACCTAAGACACTGGGCAACATTGGTGAGAGGCATTTACTTTGACCAATGCGTCACTCCTTCTTCACAAGTCTATTTTAGGGGAGAAAATAGAAATTGATGGTAAAATCGATACCTTAGTTGATACTGCATCGTCACTGCTGAATAAATTTGGACAAACATCACGTAGCCTCTCACTAATGGCATCGGTAGAGGCACTGTCATCCAGATAGCACTTTATTAAAGAGTCAATAAGGGCACTGCAAATCTACACAAAGCAAACAAAACAAAATAAATTGTCATGAAATGATAAAATTTGTACTTGTACTCACAAAATGCTGTCACTTCAAGCATTTCACTACAGGAGTCAGACGATGTTAATTTTGGACTCTCTGGATGAGACCTTCGAGTGTGAACACTCAAATGGAAGCAACTGAGCAGCACTTTCCCGTGGTGCTGTTTATTACGCCGTAGAAGGTGACCCCAACTTTCTAGTCTATGGTTGAAATCCTATTATGTGACCATTCAGATTAAAGCTACCGACTAGAACTTTCCTGTAGTACTGTTTATTATGCCAGACAAGGTGGTTCTAACTTTTGAGTCTGTGGACGAAATCCCAAAGTGTGACCATTCAAATGAAAGCTACTGAGTAGTACCTTTACATGGTACCATTGCCTTTAAGCAAAACAAATTTACAACTTTCTTTCATTTTTTATGTTTGGCCACATTGGAAGGAAAAGAAACAACCAAGCTACTTACCTCTTGCCCAGTAGTTATTAGGTCTCTAAATTTGATGTGCTTTAGGCGATCTCTTATTACCTGAAAATAACCATGAGGCGTTCCTCATTAAGTGAACACTCCTTCATTATTACTACAATACTCATCACATTTTGTTGAAACAGTAGATGGAAGCTGAGGATTTTTATATGTCGCACCTTCTCCATAAGAGTCTGATAAGCAAATACGAGGTTTAAAATGTTGTTTGTCAAAAGGTGTGTGTGGGGGGGGGGGGGGGGGGGGGGGGGGGGGGGAAGAGAATTTGGGGTTTTGGGGGGGGGGGAGAAAAAAAACAACAAAAGGCCAGGATTCCAAAAACTTAACCACACCCAAAAGACAAAAAAAGGTTAAAAAAAAGGGAGGAGTTTTTGGGGGAACCATTCGCCGCATTACAAAGGAGGGACTAAGGGGGGGGGGGGGGGGGGGGGGGGGGGGGGGGGGGGGGGGTGGTGATGAGAAAGAGATTTTGTGTTCTGAGGCAGGTAGAGAAAACAATCAACACAAGGACAGGCATTCCAAAACTTAACCACAGCCAAAATGCATAAAGAAGCTTAAGAAAAGGTGCGAATTTTTGGGGGAACCATTCCACGCATTACAAAGGAGGTTCTCACGCTCTCTGTGTTTTTTTACTAATCTGGCTTTGAACAAGTTAATGGTTATACCATGAAGAAAAGGGGATAGTTGCAAAAATAATTGCATATAATCTTACATTGCTATATAACACTTTTAAGTTTCATCTTACCGGTTCAAGATGAAGTATGACTTCCTCAAAGTTGTGCTCATTAAGAACTTGCCAGAGGTGCAGTGTCTCAATTGACCGGTCAATTAATGACTTGAAGTTAATCAAGAAGTTCTTTTCGGCCACAAATGCTTCTGCTGATGCTAAAGAAAGAAATAAAAATTGACGTAACTCACAACTGACTGAAAATCATTGGTGAAACATCAATTTAAGTATTCTAGGGAGCAGTTGCTATAACAGATCAGGATACTTCTTAGTTTTGGCTGTGTCCTTATTTTGGTTACCTTGACTCAAGATTTTCTTTCCCAGTCTGCAACATGGAATGGCTACGATGCATGCAGGACGCAAGGCCTATCTCATAATAATAATTACTGTACCATTTAATGCAAAATGTTTTAGAACCTTCCTACCTTTCAACTCAATGTGCACCTGCAAGCTTTCGTCATGCCACTAAACCCCAAATCTATTTTTATGTTTGTTTGCTAAAATTATTCAAAGAATAACATGGCTCTTCTGCACATAAAAGCTTCCTCCCTAGGCTCAAGTACCGCTTAGCATTATATTAAATCATCTTGACTCAGTATTAACTACTTTCACTCCCATTTCCTACATGAAACGTAGTTTTGCAGAGCTTTGCGGTGTGGTACAGCACTGCCATGCAGAACTTTTTGCTTTTGAGTTTTTACAAAATAAGTATCAGACAAAGACATGGTGCAATCCACAGTTACTAACCTTGATGTGTTTGTTGAAGGAGTGACTGTCCACTGGCCATTGTTACTCTGGGAAAACTTTGTGAAAGAAAAAAAGTGGTTTTCAACAAGATTCATACAGCACTCACTAACTTGACTTAAATCTGGGCTAGCTACATATATACACCCAGAAAAAAAAATCCCTGATGGCGGAGGAAAGAACCCACAATAAAATCAATCTAAACAGGCCATATCCATGTACTAACAGCTTCTCGATAATTCAAGAACTAAGGAGCAGAATTTGTCTACAAATAACATCCTTCTTTTTAATGTATTGCCTATTTTGATAAAAACTATTTTGCTAATCTTAAAAGGGGCACAGTCATGAAGTCTGCTTAAGTCTGCTCCTTGAAAAATTTACTTCATCACTTGCAATCCATGTTATAGGGTATTACTTCTTTGGTATTTTCACATTGTACCAAACTAATCTTGCTTCAACTTCAAAATAAGTTTGTATGTTCCAAAAATAATTTGTGATGAATTGTACCACACCTCCTTTGGGTTCTGCTTCCCTTAACAAAATACAATGAAACTGAAAAAAAGTTGTGATTCACACCCTGCATCCAAATGGGGCAGCATAAACTGCATATTCTGTTCCATCCATGTTTGAAGTTGTCGCAGTCTTTCCAAAATCCACCCCAACTGGAATACACTGAGCATGCTCCTTAACACAGGAGTGAGCTAAAAAGCAAGACAGGATAAAAATGGTAAATCACATAATAAAAAAAGCTGGTGTTTTTTTCACATTATGATATGACAAAACCTGTGTCAACACTTTACTCTTAATAGTGACTAATGCAAAACATTCGCAAAAAATAAATTTGAATTTTCTTTTTGTAAAATCCACACAAAAGTGCTGCTAAGGATGCTTCATTTGAATGGTGAGATCATTGGATTTTGTATAGATCTAAACGTTAGAGAGACAAATCATCAGGCCATTTCAGTGGGAGGGTTACATGGACCCTGTATTAAGAAAATGACCAGTATTACCACTATTTTCTCCGCAATCAACACCACTTGGAAATAGATTTCTGTTGTTATCAAATGGTTCAGATACACTCGCAATTGCCAAAACTCTTTGCCATTTGGATTGACAGAAATCTATTGCCAAGTGGTTTTGATTTTGGGTAAAAGTGAAGAACAGCTCCCCTATTTTGAATGTAGCACTGCGGTGAAAATAATGGCAAGCAGCCTTAGTAAGCCCCAAACTTTTCTTCCTATATTTTCTATAAACAAGCTGTATTATATGGAGTACTCAGCAGCAGACACTAGTGAAGTCCAATGTGTGTCTACTATCTTGTTGCAAATTTTTACAGTTGTCTATGCATGAAACAACACATCTTTGATGAAACAAGGATTGACAAAGTGATACGCAGTAAAAGGAGTTTCAAACCTGTTGTGATTGTGAAGGAAGAGGCATGAAGAAATCCTCAAACACAAGTCTTCCATCCCAGAAAGTTCTATAAAAATAAAGGATGATTCAAAAAATAGAAACAATGTTAGAATATTGGAAAACCTAAGAATTAGATACATCTTAGAAGCCATCAAATCAATTTGTAAAACAGTATCAAATACATACTCTAAAATTCTTGCAAAGTAAAGACACAGTCCATCATGCTTGCTTGATCTTGTTAACTCAGGTCTCACTACAGCTTGTCCCATGCCAGCCTGATGAGGTGTTGAAGTCACAAAACCAGGAATGTCAACACCTGGTCTGGTTACATAACTGCCTGTCAGGTTCCCCCCTGAAATGGGACTCCCTGGACTTGTTACAGGGGGGTGCACTCCTGAAGGGTTCCCTGGAGAAGGAAGGTGAGAATCTCCTCCGTATTTGAAGAAAGCTCTTGTGGCCCATTCAGCAACCTGGAATCAGTATAGCAAAGCATTATCCAAAAGCAGCAATATTTCATTATTGTCTGCATCATCTTCAGTTGATAACTTTATTTTCTTCAGACACTCCAGAAGACTATAAACTATCTTCCAGTGCTATCACTGAGGGTCATAACCCATAACACTCATTACAGCTGAGTTCCCTTGATGTTAAGGGTGATTGAAGTGGAAAACTAAAGTGACACTATAGATTTTCATGAGATGTTACGGGCGAATCTGCATTTGTTACAGCTGCTTCTCTAAGTAGACTAAATTCTAGCCAGACAATCACCATCACCCTAATCGACAAAATTATCCACCACAAGCCATACAGTGATCATGATCACCTGGACACATTTTTTCACATTTTAGGGGTTGGGACAAAATGGAAGCCATGCTTTAATCTTAATTGCTGTTAAGCACAAGAGTATTTGACTCACTTGTTGTTGGGTTGCTGTGGCACCACAGGCCAAAACAAGACACGTTGCACATGCCTGGTCTTCCTGTTCAATGGCAAGACAAAAGATCTATATTAACCATTTTCACATTGCCTTTAATAAACCATATTTTCATATTGCACCATCAAGTTCCATAAATAACAACAACAAAAATAATCAATAGACAAAAAATCATTCCCCTCCCTTGCATCTTTTTTACCTTGTGAAGCTTGAAGAAAGCTTGAACTGCATCAGAATCAAATCCCTGACTGTGCAATAACAACTGACAAAGCTGCTCAACTGGGCGATAAGTTGTAAAAAGGTAGCTTCCCTGTTGATATAGCAATCACAAAGATCAGGTGGTGACAAAGGTGCAACTGGTAAATTACAACCAGGACAACCCGGACAACCCGACAACTGGAACAACCAGGACAACTGGAGCAACCGTGAAAAATAAATGGCTGAAACACTCTAAAACTCACCTGTGCACTTAGAGCCACAAAGGACCTCTGACAGGAAGCATGTTGCCTCATGACAGCAGGTGGATCTGGCCATCTGTCGCTTTGTATGGGACAGTCACTTGTCATGTTGCCACCAAATTCAGGTACTTCACTTAAAGACCAAGTTCTACCCTCCATTGGTACATTCACCTAACACAAAATATCACAACAGTTAATAAAGTCACATCAGATCCTAACCAATCAGAGCACAGGATGATGATGACATCATCAGTAACAGATTATGCATAACTCAAAGTAATGTCTCAGCAAGCTACATGTACCTTAAAATGCTCCTATTGTAGGTGCTCGCAGAAATATGGAAAATTCTACTTTTCATACCCTTGAATTATACTAGAGTATATTTATTTGGCAGCATTTCAGGTTAACAATAAAATGGAATCAAAATCTAAATGTAGAAATTGCCCATAAAGAACCAGATATAGAATACCCATAATTTAATGCGTCAGTAATCTAGAGGCTCCAAAATTTGAAAAAGGAGATTTTTTAACAGTCTTTCACTCCCAGAATAAAACATAAAGTATTCTACTGAAAGACCACCTTTTCAATTTGTGGATGAAATCCTATGGCATGACCATTCAAACAAAACCCCCTTTGCTGCTCTTTCAAAAGGTACGAGTTGTTTCCAGGATTTTGCAAAGTGAATTTTTTTTAATTTTGGAAATTTTGATAATTTTTAACTTCTGGCCACTTTTGGGAGTAAACAGGTTACTTATTTTAAAATGTTCTCAATAAAACATACCCTTCTGCTAGAACGATGGTATCCAAATGTACCATGAAATAAGAATTAAAATCTGGAATACCCTGAAATCATGCAAACGGTAGTTCTTAAAATTTATTGATACCTGCATCTCTTTAAGTGGAGACTGGAATGGAAATGGATCAGGACTGATTCCCCAGAGGATATCCATCTCTTCTGTTTGAGATGAAGCTAGCAATGAAATGCCTGAAAAAGACAATCATCAATGTTATTTTATCAATGTTATTTTATTGAAATTGAATGAAACCTCCAAAGAATAACATTAGAGAGGTACATGTAATGTAGCTACTGTAACTTCCAAAAGTAAGGATGATTTTGGATGGAGATGATTAATGCTTATTATAAACAACAACTTTGAAAAATCCAAGCTTAATTTTCAAAGATGCAGAAGCAGTAATAAAACTCCTTTAAATCAAATGAGCTAACTAGCCCTAAAAGGTTTTTGATGGGCACGGTTGAATACACAGTTCTTCTGTAATTTGAATTCTCAAAAAACTTCACTTGCCCAACAGGTAAGCTTATAACAACAGTCGCTCGCCCGATAGCAAAATCCTCTAGCTCCAGGCTACTGGACAGTACTTTCTTTGCATGCTGCATGTAGTCACTAGCAAGTCATAAGTTTGAGTTTTGTTAGAGGACTCTGATTTTTTTCCTCAGTTGCCTTAGTCACTGACTAAAAGAAGATCATTCTTAACTTGAGGGCAAGTCATGCCTTGACAAAATTAGTATTTTACCAAGTACCTTGTCTGTAGAAGGCTGCATGTACTTGAGATGGTCTCTGTGAGGTTGCTGATGGTGCAAACCCTGGCGGTAGTCTGGCGTGAACAAGCTGTAGTTTACTTGGTCTCTCTAATGGAGCCCTTACAGTTGTTGTACTAAAGTAAAGGCGCACACCTGGTCAAGAAACAAAGTTGGGTAAATAAATAAATAAAATAATAGAGGTGGCACATTAACTAAGTGGTGCTTCGTCGACCTGATTCCTGGTCGAATTAGAATTTGGAAGTGTTGGTTTTTGAGGAGAGGGTAAAACAGGAGTACCTGGAGAAAAACCTCTCGGAGCAAGGGAGAGAACCAACAACAAACTCAACCCACATATGGCATCATTACTCAAGGATAAAGCCCTAAATGATGTTTGTCCCTTTGATTGGCAAGCATATCAAGGAAGAACTAAAAGAAAAATCTGGCTGCAGTTCATTAAAAGACACTTAAAGGAGATGTGTAACAAAATTTATCAGAAATATTAAAACCGTGAGAAGTGCCACCAAACTGAGTGAAACATTAATAAAAATACCTATCTGCTCAAACATGAAAAGAAACAAGGTATAAATAACACAGAAGGTACAAAAAAGAGGAACGGAAGATTGCATTGGATTGCAATTGTAGTTTTTGAAAACTTGTTAGCCTAACAGTTTTTCAAACTAAAGTTCCAATTTTTATGTTTAGAACTAATGTTTGATAAAATGCATTGGAGACATACTTGTTTGACATCAAGCTGTGATTTTGCTAACGTAAGTTATTTCTCAAGTCCCACAGTGATTAATGACACATACAATTGGGATTATTAACAAAATGAACTAGAGAACACATGACAGAGCCTCTTTAAAATACATGAAGTGATTCATCTGGCAGGCACCCCCAGCAAGGCTTCTTTCCCTTACCTGCTTGAGTGATTCCAACTAGATGGACAGTTTTGGATTCGTTCCTTGGAATTGGTGCAATGTGAATAATAGGTCTAAAATTATTGGAATCAATAGTTCTGAAAACAAAAACAACAAAAACATGTTGTTACATGTAACCTTTTGGTAGGTAACACCGGTAAGCAGCCAATTCAGGAAAGAAAGGCCATAACACAGGTACCTCAGCAGGAAATTCTGACCAACCCTGTCAGAGATACTACAAAAAACGGACTAACATTCCAAGGAAAAATCTATTGCCAATTTTGCTACTTTGTTTCTCCTCTTTCCACAGTGAATTTCCCTCATTCCTGGAAAGTCAGCCCACAATAATTCCATAGGAAAGAAAAACAATAATGTGGGAAACAAAACTAGAGATAAGAAAAGAAAGGCAGAGGGAAGAAAGAGAGTATGAAAAAGGATTGGTGGCCACCAAAGGGCAAAATGACATTTAAGTATAAAATACTTCTACCTAGCAGTTGATGCTGCTCTCTGTGTGATTCTGTCCTGTGTGAGGGAAGCCACATACGACATGCCTTTTCCATCAGCACCAAGATCAAAAACCTGTGGGAATTCAGTCACAATCAATATTTGTCACTGTCCAAAAAATTTTGGAGTTTTTTGCAGTGCACTAAATAGTCACTTGACAATGAGATCTGCCAAATGCATGCGTTACAGGTCAAAATTTTTAAAGTTTTTTTTGTAAAATCTTTCAACCTAGGTTGATTGCCATTTTTTCTTAAACTCCTAGCCCTGATCATTCATGAATAACTAAGACGAGACAAATTTAACCAGAATTTAATTTTGACCTGCAACACGTACACTTGTCTATAACATATCATATCATTTTGATGAAATGGCCAAATTCAGGGCTGATTTAATTTAACTTTTTTTGGTCAGCATGATCGTTTGCCTCATAACAACCAGAAAATGTGTTGACACTCTTCTCTCGGGCTGCACTGAAAAACAAGTTTCAATGTCCTGAAACAAGCAGTTTTACTTTCAGCTAATGATATACCTCTGTGGTCTTACACCTTACCATGACCAGATTTAACTGAAACAACTTTCAAACACACAAAAAATTCATTACCTGAATGGTTCCTTTCTCTGATCGAGAATAAAGAATGTTTCTTGTGTTGTCAACAGCCAGTTGAACAATGGGATCTGAAACAACACAAAAACAAACAAACAAACAATACTCTACCTTGCAGAATAATGTCCTGCAAACATTTTTAATAACTATTCAAGAGGTATACGGTATCTATGTGCACGTAAAGGGACTGAAAGAAAGTCCCACCTGGAGTCAACTGTGACAAGTCAATTTTCCTTCTAGGCAAGCAATTTTTCATGCTCAATAATTATTGCTTGATGGGTTAGGGTCATCTTCTAACTAAATCATAAAGTCAGACAAGCACAGGGATGTAGCTAAGGGAAAGCTGAGCAGTATTTTTTTGGTTAGTCAAGCCAGCTTTTTCACTCAACCGTTCGTTCAAAATTTCCCCATGTCTTTGTTCTCCAGATTTATTTGAGCTGGTGGTCAGCTGTTTTTCAGCACAGCCAGCTGCGGGCTCTTAGGGAAATCCCTACAAGCATGCAACAACCCCAGGCAACCAAAATGTTAAAATACTACTTTCTTTGTCTTTGTCTTATGGCAACCACATGTAAGAATAGTTAGCAAGGGAAGAGGGCCACTTGACTATATCAACAACATCAAAAGGGACACTGGTCTTGACAATATCAGGAAATTTGGTCAGCAATACTGGATAGAAATGTGTGGAATGATTGAGTCATGAAGACTTGATCGGGAGATCAGACTAAGTAGGCACTTAAGTATTATAGACCTTTCTACCGATACGGCCACTATATTGAATTAATTACATTTAAGGAGTATTATGGGATACCCAGCGGGCACTTGCTCAGTATTTACGCATGCTTTTTGGGCAAAAAGAGAACTTTAATGTATATTTCTTGGGAAAAAGGCGATCACTATTACAGCTAAACACGGCATGATCGTGGCGATCTTTTTTTAGGAAAACTTAAAGAAAAACTGGCCTGAAAAACATGCGTAAATAGTGATGCGAGTATATCGGATAGTGCTCATGCCCCCTTAGCATCCCATAATACTCCTTAAATCCAATCAATTCAATATGGCCGCTGTATCGGTAATTTCCAGATAAGTTCAATAAAGGTTCGGGATTACATGACCATGGTTATTAACGAATTAACATGTATGGGAGAGGTGATTTACACCGTAAGTTTTTACTACCGTGCTCTTTTCTTTTGCGAGGACTGCTCACGTTCACCTTGCGGCATCTCCTTTGAAACCAACTATCAGCTGCCTGTTAAGAATAAAAGCCAAGTAGAACCAATTATTTTTAGTACAACCACAAAAATTCCCTTTCCCGTTATTCAACATTCATTTTGGAAATGAGTTCCGAAATTTATTGAAGGAGTGCATGGGAAAAGTCCTTGACTCTTGAGATAATATGACATTCTACTTCTTCCCTATTCATTCTTATATTCTTGTTTGTTTACTGTTTTAGTTTTTGTTTGTTTGTTTGTGATCAATCACTTTGAGGTCAAAACAACTTGTTGTGAGATGAGGGTCTCTGTTATGTGGAGGCATTTTCTATGTTAGAGGGTTAAGAATTTCTTTCTTTTACACCTAACAGCTAAGCCTTCGGGCTGTTTTATGGCAAAGAGCTAACCCCAATGAGACCCCTAGGGCTATGTCCATAGTGCATGAGAATTACAGAGTGAAAAAAGAGCCAGTGATTAACATAAAATTCTAAGGGAAACATCAGAGATTCCATTGCACATGGAGATTACATTACCTGATAAACTATCTCATACACACAACCATCTTTTCCTCCAAGAAAAATCCTTCCTAAATGAGTTCCAGTCATGCAAGTCAAGTAAATGTTATCAGATGGAATCGAAAACAGCGGATCTGGTTGAAGATACATCTCAGCAAATTCATCATGGTTATAATTTCCTGGCAGAATTTGAAAAAAAATTGTAATGAGGAGTTATTGCCACAAAGAACTGTTCTGGTTTAGGTTTGTCAAAAATGATATAATAGGGTTTAGCAACATCTTTTTGGAAGCATATCATTGAGGCACCGGACTTGGCTAGACTTTGCAGTTTAGTTTACTGATATTTGTCAAGAAAGAAAATTACAAACGTACGACAGCACCGCATGCTGACAGGAGATGAAAACAAGGCTGGAGCGCCAATTTACTTTCAACTCCTAGTTTAATGAATTCCTAGACTTTAAGGAGACAATTTACTTCTTTTAGACAAAATTGTTTCCATGTTTCAACAGTTTATGAGACTATTTATCAGGATGTTCCTGGCAGCCAGCTGCCAGTTTATTTCAAGGGCCGAAAAAGAGCTTACCGTTGGCTCAAATTTCTCCGGAAAACAAAGACATTGAAAGATATCAAACTAGGACTAAAAAGTCCTATGGAAGGCTTTCCTTCCATCAATCTGCAATTGGTAGCTGGTTGAGAATATGCTTGTTTGAGTCAAAATACTGCGTAGTTTTAAGTACGGAACCAAGCTTTTCGTGGTGTAAGCAAAATGACACTGATCTATTTGGTACCAGATTGTAAGTGTCACGGTTAAGTTCTAAGAAGAATGTAACTCTCTGCTTAGCTATGCATGACTGCAAGACTGGTTTCACAAACAAAAAATTGGATCCTCCATCAGTCGCTTAGGTATAGCTGTTAACAAGGGTCACCAAGAGAGGTTTTCATGTAGCATCCACAATCCAGCTAGTGGTTGGTTTTTTAACAAGAAGCTGATTGATGATTTATCCAACCCGTGTTATGAGAGGACAACTTGATAATGCTTTCAGTTTCTTTTCAGTCTTATAAGTCAATAATTTTTACAGATTTTTGATTTTTGAATCTTAGATTTCTTAGTGTTATTTTATTTTATTTCCTCTTTCAATTTTCTTCTTTATTTTTTTAGCTATTTATGAGATAATTACAGGACCCTTTTGATACCAGTTCTTTTTATTAGAACTGATAGGTTATCCTGTATAAATATTTGCGTTATTATTATTATTATTATCCCATAATGCGCACCCTATGTACATGTACATCCCTGATTTATGTTGAAGGTAAAATCCAATCTCGGGTTAAACCAGAATTTCCATTATTTGCTATGAGTAATTAGGGCTACAAGACAAAGAAATTTTTAAAACAAGCGCAGCATTAGCTCAGTCGGTAGAGTGCTTGACTGCAGAGCGGGAGGTCGCGGGTTCGTTTCCTGGGGCCGGATCAATACTCGGGGTCTTAAAATAACTGAGGAATGAAGGTACTCCCTTTGCACTGCAAACGGCTTGACCTTCGCTGGTTCGGATGACCACATAAAATGGAGGTCCCGTCTCCATTAGGAGACGTAAAATATAGTGTCCCCAGTTAAATAAAGTGCTTTTTTTTAAAATACTGGTTTAAGATGAAAAAGGCTTTTACCTAAAACTTACTGTACAATAACCACAAAAAATTGCCTGCAGTGATAATATTCAAGTACAACAAACAAAACTTGACAATACCTAATTTCTTTGGTGTAAATGTCACAGCAAGAAGCACAATGTCAATTGGTGTAGTGAGACACAAGATGTACCGAACTGATTCCCTGAGGATTTCTGTACACATAGAAATTAACATACACCATTATCAATTTTGCCAAAATATAAAGGGCTAAAAAAAATGAGGTGTAGATGCACTAATTTGCATATGTCAGAGAAAACAGAGGAGTGACATCGTTTTACCCTTATCCTTTGAGTCTGTGGACAAAATCCTTTGATGTGATCGTTCAAATGAGATCTCAATCTTTGGGAGCTCATTAATTTTGCTTTGTGGTTTGGGTATGACAGGTTAGTTTGTAACGACTGGTCATAATCATGTGATGGTGTCAGTTGGCTGCGCCCAGCCATTATACGTAGCCATATGTGCATGTTAGCAATTGGCGCATTTCAGTTAAGAGTTCAAAATGCTACCATCAATATCAGTGGTAACCAAGCTGTCCACAGAGCTAGAAAAGCAAACTTTTTTGATACTTTTTTGATATTATTTTCTCAAAATCAAAGTTCTCCTTTAAATACATTGGCTGTACTTTTCATAAACCTAAACAGGCCAGCAAAACTGAAACGCACCTGGTTTGGGTTTCACCAATCCGGAACACAGTATAGTTTCACTCAAGCCATCAAAATAAGCCAAGTCACTCCTGAAATTAGGAACAAAAACATGCTTTTGTTTGAACATCAGTAATAATTGTATGCCAAACCAAGCTTAGGAATTCACAGCTTACCCATCTTCATAATTCCAGACAAAGATATCACTGTCAATAGTTAGCCAAGCTCGTCTGATCTCAGGAAACAATCCCATCATACAGTTACATTGCATGTCTGTTAATGAGGATGTCAAGGTGCTATAACACAGTAACTGGGCAAGATAAAGTGAATCCTGTGTTCTAATTGGTTTTTCATTTCTTGCCAAGTTTTGTTCCCCACAGGAAATAAAGTTCCTTTATTGACCAAAAATTTGTGCAAGAAGATTAAGATTAGAGAAAGTGCTTCAAAAGTACTGCTTTGGAAACCCCAACATGGTCAACAGACATTGACAACATCAAAGCTGACACTGGACTGGACAGTACCAAAAAAATGAAAGACGCGATGCTCGATCAGGTCTTGCGCAGGATTTTGTTAGGATGGCTCGGGATGATTCCCAGCCTAAATAGGTAAGTTATTGATCAAGCATGTTCAGTCAAAATGGCCAGAAGGTAATTAGCTTTTGTTCTTTTTCATAACCCTAGGCTAGTTCATCTTTGTCCATAAAAATGTAGAAAAAGAACTGTGTCAATACCTATCAATCTTGACCTTGTGCTAACTTGGTCAATAAGCTTAATACTTGAATTTGTGTCCTCCCTTGAACGAGTGCCTTCGACCAATAAAATAACCATTAAATACAGGAAAAAATCTCAAATATTAAAATAAAACATCTCCAAGAGCAGTTTCCTTTACTCTTTTTCAGTTAAAAAATTTAATCTGGCTGCTCTCCTACACCATTTTTCTAATAACGTGTACATTATCAAGATCATATAAAAGGATACGATCAAACTGCTCCACTAATTCCCCAGGAAGAGGAACCCGTTTGAGGAGACTGACAAGTTCCATACCCGCCAAACCAACAGATGGTGAGGATAGGGCAGGGTAGTCATAATCATTGATTCCACTGAAGGTTGTAAAGGCTAAAATCATGGGTAGAAAGAAAAGAATAAAGGCTATATTAGTTTAGATTATATGCTCTTAAACAGTAGGGATAGATTTTCCATGTCACTTAAAAGCTTGCACGCTCCTTAAATTGTACAAAATATAGTTATAGGTAAAAAATCAATCTACAATCGGCGACAAACTGAGTTGAGACACTTCGCCCAAAAGTGGGCTTTTTTACGTTTTATGAACTTCAAAAGGAGGAAATATACCTTTCCTCCCCCATCCCCTCCGTGCAATGTTGTGCCCTTTTTCTAGCTACCTATAGAAAACAACAAACACCCCAACTTTGAATGGAGGGGACAGGGGAGGGGTGCCGATTCTTTTGTTCTCCGAAGTCACCCTATTTAAGTACAATGTCTCAACAATTTTGTCGCCGATTGTCTGAATCTCAAAAGTGGCCGTACGTCCTTTAGAAAGTTAATTGAATTCATTTTTTTTATGCTGGGATGTAAGACCCCTGGTGGCTTTTTATTTGTTATGTTTGACTTCATCATACCTATTTTAGAACAATTAGAATAAGGCAATTTCGTTATTTTCAGTGCGTGACATTTCGTGTCACGCTTAACCGTGCCTTGACATTGTGCGACGTGGCGCGTCGGGCACAATTTCTTATTCTCTCCTTTATCGAAACAAAGAACAAAGTGAAAAGGATAGAAAACTTAATAGATTTCTAGGCATTAAGGTAGTTATAATGGCTAAAATTGCTCTTTAGGAGGAATTTCCCATAGTTGGGAAAAAACATTGTACTGGCATCCAAAACATTGAATTTTGTGTTCTAGGCATATAATTTACTAGTGGAGGCTGATGTTGTTTGTCACAAATCTAACGTGAAACAGCTTTACTATACCTGCCAACTTTTTCTGAGATATAAGCGTGAGATTTTTATCCTGGGAGAGCTGGGATTTTTGAAGACGACATGATCATTTCCGAAGATTCCCGAAGAAGTCCGAAGACTTCCGAAGACGTCCGAAGGCCTCTGAAGACATCCAAAGTCTGCCGAAGGCGAAGTTATCGAGTCCCAGTCTTAGGACGCGTATAAATTCGAGCTCGCTCCCAGTGCTTTTCACTTGAAAAATCAGAGATCGCGAGGAAGGTATTGTCATTTATTTATTTTACACATGGTTTTCGTTCCTTACATGGGTCTGAGTTAACATATTTTTGGAAATTGTGTCAAGCAAGACGGCAACAACTCACATTTTTCAATCAGGCGTGAGAAATTGGCCCGCAAGCGTGAGCCGGCGTGAGATCGAAGTTTTCAACCCGCAGGCGTGAGACTCACGCCTAAGGCGTGAGAGTTGGCAGGTATACTTTACTTCTCAAAACAGTAAAACGCATGCTCTATTTAAGCAATTATTTTGTTACGTTACGTTACGTTCTGATTTAGAAGTATCTTTTAATTTTCACTTAACATTTCTACAATGAAATGTGATTAAAGTGTTCACTGTGCAGAAAAAACTGTTTTTTCCTTACTCCCGGCTATTTTCTTCGAGCTCTCGATAACTCGAACTTTTTTCGATTGCCCTTGAAAGTTCGAGTTATCAGGAGTCGACTGTAATTATAAAATAAAGGAGCAAAACTGCTCCAGGAAATAAGGGAAGTAGTTTACCCTGGGAAGCGTTAATCTGTTCTGCCAGCTCAGGGTACTGTCTGTCAGCCTGAAGTTGTCGATCCACTTCCCTTGCAGCATTTTCAAGCCCTTCGGGAGTCACAAGCGAACTCAGAGCACTTGTTCCTACTGCTACAGGCATGTTTGAGTTTTCAAAACAACGTCAAAGCTTTAAAAACCAATAATTTGGATCATTTTCCTAACTCACACATGGCGACCGCCATTTTCGAAGAAGGCGCGCGAGAACAGTGCGCACAATCGGAAGTGATCCGAGCCAATTATCCGAAAATAACCGATCGGTTGCCGAAAAAATTACTCCCCAGCGAGGGTCCCCCAGGGAGGGTCCACGACATACACTTCTTTCATGCACTATGGAAGACCCAGCTGAAATATTTAACAACTCACGTGCGCTTTATTTAGAAATTTATTATAAATCGAATAATTCATAAACCGAGAGAAAAAGATAGCGTACATCTCGGCAAGTGTAATGCTGGTTTTCTACCCCCCGGGGTAGAGGGGGTACTTTAGGAATTTCTGGATGGGGATGTGCCGCTGGGACCCTGGAACCCTTAACCTATACCAGAGCTAGTTCAGCTGAATTTTGCTACCCGATACTAGAGTAAACTCCCCAAATCCCCCCTAGGTCACTAGCACAGTCTAGCCAAAACAAAACTTTATACCACAATCCCTAGTCTTGATAAAATCTTCAACCAACTGATCCGTTTCCTGAAAAATGATACCCTACTCTAGACCCAAACGCTCTGATTTATATACCCTATCCTAGAGTAAATTGCTTGAAAACCATACCCTTCACAGCGGCACATACCTATATAGCCCATATATGGCAGTACCCCCCCGGGGTTTTCTACATACGTGCCAAAGGTTTCCGGAAAGATACGACGTTCTTCCGACGGTATCCGATTGCAAAACAGGCCTAGATGACGTCACGTTACGACAGCATGACATTTGTTGTTTTGAGAATAATTTTCCTGAAGACAACAGGGAACTACTGGCCGGCGGTGGAGAAAGTAAGTGTTCTCTCAAATAACCACCGTAAAGGGTCGTCTTTGTAGAGCTTCAGTCCAACCCGACATGGGAAACTGCTTGAAAAGCACTGGTCAGGATGATATTTCGCTTTTACATGACGACGAAAGCTTAGATTCACCAAGGACAGGCGAACCTCCACCGCCATACCAGGTTCAAAAAATAACTCAATATGTACATTTCCTTCTCGTTTAATTACTCTAGCAGAGATTGAAGTGACGTTTTCTGTGTTTTATTGAAGGAGGAAGCGCCAATCTTTATTCAAAGCCAACATGCTCCTCATCTGCTGTCCGAAGAACAGCAGATTCGCTTAGCACAACGTCTTGGTCTAATTCAACATCTTCCAGTCGGAAAGTACGATGGCTCGAAAGGAAAAAAGAGAGAGTAAGGATATTCTTTGTGTTGTAAAATTACGTCAGATCTTGCTGTTTTCTTAGATACTGTAGGACCTTTCTCAGAAAGGTGAAAGTTGAAAAACTGTATTTACGTAAAGCAGCAATTAGATACGAAATCTGTTTAATATTTTATTCTAAAGCTTCTTGGCTGTAACCCTTACTGTGGTTTCGAATAATCCAGACTTTTTTAATTGCGAGCTGTGTGGATACAATGGAATGTTTCCGTGACAGGTTTGTGTTTTTGTTAGCGTGCTTACTTGAGAGCATTTTCTCTCTTATGAATAGCAGTGTTGTGTAAGATTAATTTTCAGAGGAAATGGTCCCTCTCTTTTTGTGTAGCATCCCTTTATTCTTGGTCCATCACTCACAGATGTGCGTTAAATTTGTTATTCGAAAGAGAACACGAAGCGCAAATGTTTACGTAGTGCTCAGCTTAGAGATTTTCCGAACCAAGTTCACGGGAATGCGAGAATTTTGAAGCAATTATTTAATTCAATATACCCACGCGATGTTACAATAGGTCCTCAGACCTCGCTCGCTTTTTTTGTTTACCGCGACTTCCGGCGTGGGAAGGCAGCAGTTTCCTGTCACAATGGGCCCTTTTGAGTATAAATTGTTACCCTTTGATAAAAACTTATAATATGATTCATTCAAACGTCGAAGGGCAACAATTCTGTTACAGAGAAAAGAAGAAGCGCTGTTTCTGCCCATTTTTTATTTATATGAAACCTAAATGATATTCTGGACTTCGCACTTGTACGTGTAATAGCATAATATTTCTGGGAAACAGGAAAGGCAATGTAAGAAGTTCTAGGCGTCTTTCAAAGCAGACTTCCCCTTTTCCTTGTGTTAACTTATGTTATTAATTTACCCCAAATAAGTTCATAGCGATAAGAAAACGCGTGTTTGAACTACAAAGAAGAGATGATTATCATATGCTTATACATGTTTCTGTGTATTAAAATTTTCGTCGGATGGTACGTGACTTCAATGTAGACAAACACTTACAGTACTTCTAGTGTTGATAAAATGTTATTATTTGGGGAAGACCCCTTTACTTTTGAGTAACTGGGAAGGTATTTTCTCTTTCATTATTCGGGTGTTTTTAGGTAACCCACCTTTTCCTTTCAATTTACTTTGTTGAACATCAGTGAGATGATTTACGGCCACCTGCACGAAAAGGTTATAATGCAATTATTTATTACTTGCCTCCACATGAATGCTTGGCAAAGAAATTTTGGTTTAAATTTTTGTGTTACTTAAATTTTCCTAATTTTTTTTTCTGAAGGCACTCAATTTGTGCTTTCAATAAGCCAAGTTGAGAGTTCTTTCTCTGATCATCACTTTGCTTTGTTGAAAAACAATGCAAAAAAAGAAACAGGAATAGTTGGAATTGTTTGTGTGTTGGACATGTACCAATAAAACCTCTTCTTATTGGTAAGAGGGGTCCTAAAGCAAGTCAAGGAGGTCCAAAAATGGGGGTTGTGAAGCAACCCAAGTAAGCAGTCCCGAGCGGTCGTCTTGTCCCGCTTGAAGGGTTTTGAATCTTATTTCCCACTGGTCAAAATTAAAAGTTGGGGCCGTGCTTTCTTGATTGCTTGATGGGTGATTTGCCCAAAAGTGACAAAGCGTGGCTTAAAGCAATGACATGTGGACGAATGACAACAACATCGTTCACAGTTTATCCGGTTGTAGCTATAATTTATTCAGTGACCCCATTTTGGGCCACTAAAATTCTCCCACTGCAACCAAGACAAGTCGTTTCATGTGACAAAAAAAACTGAATGACTACAAAGGACTTTGTGAAAATCTTGTGTACAATGAACAAAAAGAGAAAGCAAATAGGGTTTCTAGAATGGCACTCCTTAAAATATGGTTTAAAGAGCACTCAGTGGCTTTCTTTTAATTTTTTACTGTTAGGAGTTACCAGTAGTACTCCAGATCATAACTAAGCTTGTAAAAATGCTTCTTCCGAGAGCTTCATTATTTAACTTTCATGGTGACAGAAACTCAACTGTTTTTCTTCTCAGCCCCAATATCCACATATATGACTTTGTACAAATTCCCCAGAGTGATGTCAGTACATTTCCTTATAGATCTTTATTAATTCCCATAACCTAATCTGTTGATTATTTAGTTATATTGTTAGAAGAAAATTGATGTTGGTCACTCTTGGAAATTAAAGGGTTATGTGACATTACAAAGAAACTTTTGCTTTTGCTTTTGCTTGTATCAATCATTTTGGTCTTCTCAAGGTGCCCTTCTCACATCCGACCTCAGAGATAAGTGGTTTAGCCATGACAATAACATTTGACTTCATATTTTTTCCATCAGGTGTGTAATATGTATGACAGACTTTGTCGTGGGTGATCCAATTCGGTTTCTTCCTTGTATGCACATATATCACAAAGACTGTATAGAAGATTGGCTGGTTAGGTCGTTCACCTGTCCGTCATGTATGGAACCTGTCGAGGCGGCACTACTTTCTACATACTATGAAGCTTCTACAGAATAACAAGAAAGAATGGAACCCAGGTGATAGAGAACAAATTAAAGAGGTTTTTATATCAAGTATCTTTCACAATAGAGTTGCAGTTGTCTTTGAGGGAGAATTGTGGAAGGTTTTGGCCAGAAATTAAGTCTATCAATAACTTTAATACCAGTAATGTTTCAATTAAGCTATTTTAAATTTAGAAAATAGAGGAAATATTTTGGGTATTTTGTCTTAATTTATAATAATCTTTCAATCGGGGTTTCACCTCTTAGTTCCTTTCTCATTTCTTGTAGTGTTTTTTTTTTTTGGAGATAATAAGGTAAAGTTGTTAAGCTATTTAACAATGCTACTGTCAGGGCAGAGTCTTTTGCTGAAACAATTATTTCTTCTAATATTAATTGTTTAATTTATCATCTATATAAGAATGCTTGGACTAGAAGAAACATACAGATAATATCTGTTCAAGCGAGTTTACTACAGTTCAAGTTAAGGAACTAGAATGATCTTATTCATATTCTTCTGATCTGGCCATTAAAATTGCATCAGAGAGTTAGTACACAGGTTCACAGTTCGTTTTGAAACTGGTGTACATATTTATAAAGATTTTGTTTATAGACAATAATATTGCCTGGAATTTTTACCAGCACATCATCAACCAACACATGCAATTTTCAAATTTGTATCAGATGAAGCTTAACTCCTAATAAATTCTCCTTGATGTCCATTTGACTCATTGTATTCTGACTATGTTCAGGCATGTATGCGATTATACACATTAACACTTTCATTCCCTGTACTGGACAATGTGAAAATTTACCGACAATCCTCATTCACTTTTGTAAAGTCACTGGAAATAAAATTAATAGTGCTATACTGATAAGCGAACAGTGGCAACACCATAGGATTTCTAACAGGTTCAAAAGTTAGATAAAACTCATTCTTAGACCAGAGTGAAAGGGCATTATTCAGCATAATATCATATGTTGGCTGTCAGCAGATACATGAATCTTGCATCCAAATTGGTATGATCCTACAGTATATCAATTGTAATGATTCTGTTAACAGTAATGTTTATGATCAAATGTTTATGGTCAATATTCTTAGTGGTATATTTCAATGATTGCTAAGTGATGGTGCAATTTCTGTCAGATTTCAAACTCCTAAAATGTAACTTACAGCTGAGAATTTCAGTACCAAAAAGGCCCTCTTAGCGGGGTGGGAAGGGGCTACACATGTGCCTAGTCTGAATTTCAAATACCGTCACCTTGAATTTGAGAAGTTGGCCATGTCCCTGTCAGTATTAAACCCATCTTTGTGTCATTTTTCCCCATCTCAAGACCTAAATTGTTATCTTTGTGAAAATCATGTTATTTAAAAAGGCCAAACTTGTAGTTGTGCATTCATTTGCTTAAGGAGCCTGTTATGCTGGTAAAGCCTAAAATTATACATAGTACTACATGTAAGTCAGTTAGAAAGGACATTCATTTTCTGAAGATTGTTGTGTTTTATTCACTATTTTTATTTAATAAAGTTCAAATAATTTCATATATTAAAGTCTTATAAAGGTTAACCGTATATAATGATAAGATCTTCAAATTTTATTCCTTCTATTGACAATTTCAATATTCATTCAATCAAAGCATCTTCAGATTTCTTTAGAATGAGATCGTTAATGTACATTTTCATTAATTTTCATTAATATTCTTTTTGTACATAGCCGACTTCTTGTTATAAGATAATGTTTTAAAATGTAAAAATGAACTTCAAACTTGTAAATAAAACTTAAAAATTAATGTGAAGTACAGTTTGATTGCTTACTGTTGTTTACAAGTCTTCCGAAACCATAGCCCCGAGGTGAATAGTTGTGGATACCATTATTCTGTGAGATATAGTAAACCGGCATAACCTCTAATTCACTGAAACACGTTGATCAAGTATATTTACCAACCCGGTGGACTGCAGCCCCAGTGGTGAAGTACTTTCACAGTCTAAGATTTTACAATTACCAATGAACTCGTACCATAATCAAAACCTACATCCTGTTAGTTGACACAAAATCTGAGCTTATTAGAGCATTGCCCCATTGCTAAGTTATGTATAGTGTACCCCTACCATTGCTGTAAGTGTTCAAAGTCAAATAATCATTTTCATTAATTGAAAAAATGTAGCAAAATCTGAATTTTACTGCAATTTAAAAACTCTGAAATTGCATGGCTCCGCAGACAAGTACTGCTTGATATAACCTTCCATTTCACATTATATATTATTTCTGATTTAAACAGAGCTTACACTATGTAAACATAATTTAATATCTTAGCAGCTGAAAAGGTTCAAAATTTGGTTGAAAAAGACCGGGAAGCACACAATGGGGCTCAGGCTTGCTTCTTTCCATGATGAGTATTGTAACACTGACTTGATCATTACAAGTGGGCGTCTAAAGCCGCCAGATACTTTGATGAAATCAGTTTGGGGACCACAAGATGTCTGCAATTTAAATAAATTCAAGTGTTAATTAAGTCCTAACTTAAAGGGACCTCCCAAGAAAAGCTCAGCTGAGCTTGCAGAGATCTCCTGCTAATAGATTCTGTTATAGATGTAATGCATTAATAATAATAATAAAAGTGGTAATAATACCCTTTTCAGAGTCCGTAAATCCTGAGGCAGAGCTTCTTCCTTATACAAGCCATAAAGGTATGTGCCGCCCCCAAAGGGTATGGTTTTTGCCCGGTTTTGGTCTGAAAACAGGTATAGACTTTGCCCATTTTGGTCTAGATTCGGGTATGGTTTTTGAAGGAACTCAGTAGTGTATGAATGTACTCGTCATTTCAGTTCCAATTGAATAAGAAAGAAAGTTGGAATGGATTTTCAGAAATCTGTTTTTTGGCATTCTAATCTCAGTAAACAAGACATAATTTCTGTCTAATCTATGTAACCATGTGTGTTGCAATTTGTGACCACCTCCAGGTATGGATTTTAGAGGCCAGGTCTGAAAACGGGTGTGGAAAATGACATTTCTGGGTCTGAAATAGGCTGAGGATTTGGAGAACAAGGCAGCACACCCCAATCAAGAATTCCCAGAATTCCCCCACCCCCCTCCCTCTGGGATTTATAACTTTCTTGTTTGTGAAAAGATTGGCTCAGAGAATTACATGGCCATTTAATAATTATTAAAAATTATTCTTATCTGATACTGCCTTCAGTTGGAAGGAATTTGTATCTGGCCACAGCCCTAGCAAAAGTCTATTACTGGAAGTGCATTAGACCACATATTGAAAAGTACACTTAGTCTTACATATGCCACACCGTCTTGACTGCATCACTGATACATGTTGATTCCATGTCTTCCATCAGTCACATTTCAAAAATTTAAACGTTTGATTGTGGTAGTTTTGACTCCAATAAACAGCTCTATAGAGACAGGTCTCTTCAAGATCTGACAGTATGTAACACCTGATACCTACTGGGCCATCTCATCAACTTTTCAAAAGGCAATTTAGCAATAATTGTATTGGAGGTGTTTTAATTCTTACCTGATTGGCAAAAGAAACATAAGCAAAACTGGGAACACCATCTTGAGGTACGGCAATGGAGCAAAGCCAAATCCACACAGGACGGCCAGCTGCAGGAACTGTAAGGCTGTGTATATATGCATCTTCCTCTGTGGGACATGACGTATGTAGTGGTTTGGAGGGTAAGCAGCCTGCAAGAATTTTTAGGGCAAGTTTGTTATAATTTAATTAATTTTACAACGGCAAAGGCTGTTCTTTTAAGCTCTAAGAGTGATCAGAGTCAAATTTCTCCTTGTAATATCAACGCTTTGTAAAACAAAGTGGTTATGAGAATTACAGACACGATCATGCAAGATAAATTTGCCTGATATTTTGTCAACTTCTTCCCACCATTTCTGTAACAAATGAATAGGGGCAACAAGTGAGAATTCAAATTTTGATTGTAGGGTTTAAAGGGTTAACATTCTCTTAGCCTGCATTGCAGATGTAATCTAAGCCCAGTTTGTAATGTCTGTGAAGCAGCACCAGTATCCTAGTTCTGGGCCCCCAATGGATTCAACAAAATACCAAAAATGAATTTTGATATTCCCTTAAACCTGATTGGCATATCGACAGTGACTTCTTTAACAGGCCAATCATGCAGGTTAAGTTGAACTCAAATCCTGGTACACAGGGGGAATCTAGAACAAGGATCTTGGCACTGTTCTGCAGAGGGACTTAAACACATGTTCTATTTAGTTGTAATGAAGCTGAATCACTACTATACCTCATGGACACCATACAATTCAGGCAGGAGAGGGGAATTCCACTGGTTAGAACCCCCAAAATTCTTAAACAGCTCACTATTCTAACTAGCTTTATCTATTCTTTTATCTGGCTTGTAGATACATAACCTGTGTTCTACCAGTATCCACAAATTCATAATAAATTCCTATTTTAAAACCATTTCCTAGTGCATAGTGGCAGTATTCAACAGTGCTTATTTTTTGTGAGCAATTATGGTAGAAGGAGACAAAAGTAGCTGGGTAAGGATGGCTAACTAACTAGCCGGCTGTTTTGGCCGGCTACCCTTATTGACAGCCCTGCAAAAATTAATGGCGTCTGACAGGGCGAAATGGAGTAACTATATACACAGTTACATATTGGATACTCAAGGTGTGAACACAACACCATTTTGTGCCGGTACCCAGCCACACATTCTTGGACACCAAGTGTGGAAAGCTCCCCAAAGAACTGACTCAGTAGCTGTATATTTAAGATTGCTGGCCAGAGTGGAAAGAGTTTGAGAGTTGACAGCATGTTTACCTGTTCTGTGATCAACAGCAATGCTCTCTCAAACATCTGGTTGCCATCCAATGCTGTTATGGCCATGAACAGGAACAAGCCATCAAGTACCATTGTGGGAATAAGAGTGAGTGGTGTTGGCAGCATCAGCAGGGAAAGTGCAATCATTAAATTGGAGATTAAACCAGACAATCTTGTTTCTCTGACTTTCACAATGCTGAAAATACATAAGTTCAGTACCAGAATGTTAAACTGGAAGGAATCATTGATAAATTGAGGTTATGTGTAACTGACCAACTACCCCTCCCTTTAGTCACAATTTTACTGCCCTAAGTGAGAAGTAAGTGTTAATGTTGACTTAAGGGAGGGGAAGGTGGTCAGAATAATTCTGCTTGTAAGTTGTTTTCTTATTCTCCGAGAAGCCCTTCAAGATAATCCAGGCCGTCTGGCCACATGCTGGCAGAGATACAGAAGACTGTCACATGGGGGATGTTAAAACACACGCAAACAGTGCGTGGGTGCTTTAATGACTGCGTCTACTTTTAAATGAAGAAGGGTTGTGAGTCACTGACTACTAATAATTTCAATGCTAATTTTATAACATCTTGCTTTGTATGGCAAGAAATGTTGGCAACCTAGCAATTTGAAAGAAAGTTGAGGAAGTTTTTATTTTTTGAAAAAAAAAAATTGGAGGGCAAACTTACAGGATATATATGACAGGACTAGAAAACAATGACAACAGCAACAAGACTAGCAAATGCTAAATGTGGATAGATACAGATTTTTAATCATACATAGAGATAGAAGTGTTGATAATAGCAACTCTAGGATAGGGAGAGATTTTGGGAGCCTACTCTTCAGTTTAATGTAGCAATATTCAGTCAAACTAGGTGTGGTATACCTTATAGGGGGTCCCAGTGGCATATCCCTCCCTACCCAAATATTCCTAAAGTACCTCCCCTGGGTTCTAGTCTCACTTACATTTCAAACACATGACCTCTATCAACTCTCTCTTCAACATCAGCCAATGCTCTCACATGCAATGGTGAGTGAGGCAGGGCAGCGTGTACCCATGGCAGGCCAAATAGTGAGAGGAAACTGTTCACTACTGCAACCACAAATAAATCCCAATGATATGCACTGCCTTTCTTCAACCTAAAAGGAGCAAGTATTTAGAGTTGATTGGCATCCTTTTACAATCTATTTCACCCATCTTGTTAGCGCTTATTTTCAGCATGCAAATATAAGACTTTACTGTTAAGCACTACTGACAGCACTTATATTGCTGCAGCAGCTGCTGGTAGGAGCTTGGCTCAAAGATCTTGTAAATTTGCATTCATTTGGGAGACCTTTAAGTCTCAGAGAGGTAGATCTTCTCGGAGATTTTAAGGCTGACCTAACCAAAATTAAGGAAAGTCCAAGGATGGCAGAGTATTGCAGTGGAGGGTGAGTTGAGATAAGTTTTAATTAGATCATGCCAGTCAGTGTCCTATCCATTCACGGGATGTGATTCTGCATCAGCAATAATCATTACATATGTACTGGTACAAACTTACTTTAGGAGACCGGGCATTTCATGGTGGTGCCTCAAAGCTCTGCGACCACTTTCCAGAAGACATTTATTTACAATAGAAATAAGGATACAATCATAGGTTTGGAGTCAGCTCCAAAACACACCTTTTTAGATTAGCTTAAATTTGATTAAATTTCATTATTATTTTATAGTGGTGTAGCATTTTCTTCCCTTAAATTTTATAAGCCAAAATTAGATTTATTGCAATGTTACTTAAGTGGAACTATTTTTAGCATGTGAGCATTATCCACATGAAGCTTGACACACCCAAGTCAAGTAAATCCAATTGGTTTACCCTTTGATCAGTTTAAAGGTTTGACCCCATGCATGCAGACAGCACCTGTTTCCAGGATTGTTGACCATAGCGCTTGAAATGTTCTGATCCATGAAGAACAGCAATGACAGAGAAAAGCCTAATCCCATGCCTGCGAACACGGCACCCCAGGTCAGCTTGTGAAGAGGAGCAGGGGCGAAGGCAAAGGAGTTGCTTGTTTGAAACTTGTAATCTGTTTCAACAACACAAGAACAAGAGTTAAAACAACATGCAAGTGGGAGCAAATTACTGACTCACAGTAGTTTTTGATACAATAACCCTTTAAACCCAGATATCCACACACAAATTCTCGAAACCAATCCCCATACATTTGTTTAAAGAAACAGTTGAGAGAATTTGATAAAAGATAAAAGCCTTTTCCCTTTCGTAATCATTTTATTAACTCTCATAACCTTTTTGTCTTGATGGTGCATGAAAATTGTTAGAAGAAAATTGTTGCTGGTCACTATTGGGACTCACAGGGTTATAGGAGTGTTAGGGCTCGGGCTTGATCAATATTAATACTGGTTCAATTTTGTCATTGGTTCAAATTTCAATAATCCTTTTTTCGTGGCATGGAAATGTAAGAAATAAGTGGGTTGAACCACAAGGATAAAATTTCATCACTTGTCCCAGCCATACTTACTATCGATGTCCCGCACAAAATATGAAGCAATGAGGGACATGACAAGAACAGCCACTACAAGTGCATAATCAGCCAGTGCTTCTCGTTTGCCGGCATCAAGAAAAGGACTAAAAGACAGGAATAAAATTGCCAGCTTAATGATATGTTGCTACTATAAAAAAACAAATAATATTTAGTTGTTCTTCATGGTTAGAGAAAATTTTAAATTTAAATTGGTTCATACTGCCATAATTATGCCCACCTTTGTGGATCATCATGATCGTTCATGTTTCATCCACTTACAGCTGTGATTTAAAGCCTATCAGCCAGGGCAGCACATCCCAGTCTCTATATCAAGGAGCAACTAGCTCCACTTTCCCCTCCACCCCCTCCCTCCTCCCACTTCACATGCGAGTCCATTTCAGGCTTATACCAGTGGTATGTACCAGTACCTCCTTTACCATGAAGTCTTGTAACATGCCATACAACCCAGTTTTTCCTGTATTTGTTGATGCCAGCAAGTGCTCCTTTTTACCGCATTCTATACCTGGGAACAGTCTCCCATCTACCCTCTTTGCCCGTGTTTAGGCCACAGTTTTAAGTTATTTGTCATGACTGCCTATTGCCACAATTGGCCTGTTCTATAGCAATTAACCAACTAAAAATTAAAAGTAAGTTTCCCTTGGTACAAATACAATGTAAAAACCAAGTGGAACAAAGTTTCTTGTCTTAAAGGAGACACTTGAGGCGCAAACCAATACAGATCTGAAGTTGCATGTGGTATCCTCTGAACCACCACTGACAGCTCCACACAGGTAGGATTCAGATAGAGTAAGAATTTACACATCACGCACTCACCTCTTACGAAAATTGTATAGAGCAAGACCAATCCAAACAGTTGCTAAGCTTATCACGGCATAAGACAGACCTCCCTCTCTGTGACACACTGAGATATCAGTACAGTTACTGGCTAACTGGTTGATGGCACAGCTGGTGGAATTCATCAAGGGATTTGAACAGTGAAGAGTTGAGTATTCTGCAATTAAGGCAGAATAGCATGTGACTCTCTTAGAATCATAAAAAGAGCAGGGGAATCCCTCAGGCAAAGTATTTCACTAACGTTATAACAAGATAGACAAGATGCATTTCTGTCTGAAGACCTCTGGGTTAATATGTGTTTAGATACCTAATACAGAAACTGCCAGAAAATTCATCATCATATATAGCATAATGGCTATCTAGGATAATATTACAACTCACATGTCTGACACTGGATGATATATAGAAATCAATATTATTCTTAAATCTTGTTGCAGCTTTTCTTTATTGCATTTATTTTATTGCCAACTGTATCCAATGTCCTTTTAGAGAAAACAATGGTTACTATGCAGTTGTAATTCACATGTCTAATACTTCTGCAAGTATAGGTGTATATACCCCCCGTAAATTAAAAATAACAGGGCATTTATAATGTTGAAACAATTAAAAGCAAGGAAACTATGCATTCATAGTTAAAATATTAGTGTATATGTATAGTCAGTCTTTCACTGAGAAAAAAATTTTTTTCCTGTAAATTTACCTTTGATAACACTACTGATTGCATCAACTGTAAATGCAAGAGAGATGAACAAGGCAAAGATTTCTTCTGTTGACCTAAGCAACACAATGAAAAGGGTTGGTTATTTAAATGAAGTCTAACTTAGACTGCAGTTTAGGAAATCTTTGGACCTCCAGATCTCTTCCTTAGTGGGTAAGGTTATTTAAATGAAAGTCTAACTTAGACCACAGTTCACCAAATCTTTGGACCTCCAGATCTCTTCCTTAGTGGGTTATTTTAAGAAGACAAATGTTTTTCCAGTCTATGCTATATGCTTTCATGAAACAGTTCATGATAAATGGGGTTTACATAAAAAATTGCATTCGGGAAACCGAAAATGGCTTAGAACGCGGTTTTGTTAAACACTGGTTAATAGACTGCATTTTAATAACTAGCCCAAAGAGTTTGACAGTTATAAAATGAAATTTCACTCATTTAGTTTAAAGGGCGTGAAATAAACTTAGATTCCAGTTTGTCTTTGGGGCAACCAGCTCTCACATTTTGCTTGCCTGTGGCCACTTCTTGTTCATCGTAATGATTTAGTTAGAAGTTGACTTATCCAGACCATTGCTGCTCGTGACTTTTTTTTTAACCCAAACAATACATTCACAGTGAAGTAATTACAATATGTTCTTACCTTGTTGACCATTTCATTATCTGGGAAAGTCCAAATGTAGAATAAATAAAAAGGAAGAAGGAATTCCACAACCCAGTACAGGAATAAAGCACCAAGAAATCCAAGTCAAAGTCTGCTGATATGTTGTAGATCACTAACAAAGCAAATGATCACGTTTCAAAATTATATTAATATTATTATTTCAGTTATGGTAACAGCAGCATTTATTCTGTATTTTAAAAAGTAAAATTTTGCTGTCATTTTGAGCTTAGGGGCCAATGTCATTTGTGAGTTAAAAGAGGTTGATCTAATCTGTTCCACTGCTGTTCATGTTGATGCATGCCTGTTTTTTTATAGGTCTTGGAGCTACAGTTGCAGTGTTTAGATTTGCAGTACATGTTTACAAGACCTGTAAGTAGCATTATGCAAACTTTTACGTATTATTCTACCTTCAACAGTGCAATTTGCAGGGCAAACAAATGATTCTGTTGTGTGACAGACTGACAGTGGCAAATATTTCAGTATAATGCAAAACACTTTTGTTTTGTGCTCCTTATTGGAATTAACAGAGCAGGGGAATTTTATAATCCTAAAGTAATCAGTAACTGTACATGAATAACTATCTGCCTTTGTATTGGGAGTGTTTGCTTTGAGAAAATCAACGGTTCATGCATGTACCTTTTATATACAGTGCCAGTGGGGCTGTGGTGAGCAAGACAATTAATGGCTGTCCTCCAAAAAGAGCAAATATCATTCCCCCAATTGCCTGTGATATAAAAACTTTCTGCACATCTATAAAGAAAATGATACAGAGCATTTTTGTTTAAGTTTAATAGCATGGCCAAGCAGTTGGGGCGATTGTAATCCAAAGGCCCCATGAGGTTCAATCTTTGCCCTGACTGCTAGCCAGATTTGTTCTCAGTAGTTCCGGGTATTCAGCTCCTCCATTATGCTTGTAAATAACCAACTAGTTTGCCTTCGGCCAATTGGGATTCTTAACCTTGTGGGCCACAATCAAAACTACTGGTTTACCAGTAATTGTGTTACCCTTAAAAAGTCAGTTTTTTTAATAGCAAAACTTGGGTGCCCATAGGGATCCTAAATGATTAAATTGTTTGTGTAGACTTGTTAAAGTTTGAATGGTTAGACCGGAAACCACAACGCTGACAACTCATGTGGTTTCCGTTAACTTCCATTTTATGTCCGTTTTATGTTTTTGTCACAGGTAGAAACCAACTTTTGAATGGTCCGATGACCTGTTATTCCTGTTGAGGTAGGAAAAAATCTGCCTTGCAAATTCTGAAATTGAGCGTTATATATAACCAATGAAAGGGTTCCCCCCAAAAAAGCCCCTTTTGTATGAGAGAAGGGAGGGGCTGGTGGGGTAGGCTTTGAACAGATTATTGTACCTTCCCTTTGGAGGAGTGTGAGGGCTTCCTTTTGGCACATTTTAATTTTGGGGGTCCTGAAAAGCACATTTAAGCATATTTTGATAAAGTGACCAGAGGAAGAATTTTAGGCATGAGGATGGCTCCTTATTTACCCACATTTGCTTTATTTTATCATGTTTGTTTTCATCCATTGAAGTGTTCAGAAAAACTAATAGGACAGATATATTATCCTTTTTACATTTTTGTTCAATGAGAAGCCTACATGTCCATGATGACTAGACTGCAATTTTTACCAGTGGATGGAGCTTACATGTAAAAGGAACCCTGCCCATCTACACCTTGCCAGGTTTATAAGATCCCCTGAACCATCTGCAGTTGCTTTCCCTTATTCGCATCTAAGACCTCACAAATCAGGAGTCTTTACAAACGCACTATGTAGTAATCTGTTTTGACTCACCATCCTTAAAATCTGATAAATAATGTGGCCATCTTCTTCTGAGGTCTCTGATAAGCCCTCGTCCAAAACTACACATTTCAGAGTCCTATTTTAAGGGTAAAAATAATAGCTTCATTAACGTGCTCTGTATAACATTGTCTAAATTAAATGTCTGCATAAATGCAAATCACTCTCTTATCATCATGAACTGGTTTGCATGTCTCCGTGACCCCTTAATAATTATGTTAGCTGGAGTCTTGTATTGCTGGTACGGACAACCATGCTGAACAGGTTGATGGCAACTGGAAGATGATGATGTTTGATGAAGTTTGAAAAGTCACTTGGTACAGAAACCAATGAAGATGATGAAGTTTGATGAAGTTAAGAAAGTCACTTGTCAGAGAAACTGAGGGCCTTATGGGACCTCTGGCAAGGAGAGACATGATGATGATGAAGACTCAGGTAATACTGACTGTACATGTACACGAAGTAGATAAGCTTGGATACCTTTCTACTTTCTTTTTGATGAACAAAGGAGGATTTGGTATGAGATGTGAGTTGTCTCTTTGATGGCCTCTGCCTTGGCTGTGGCATTGATGAGAGCTTGTTGGCACGATCATTCAACACTTTCTGTAAAAGAAATTTAAAGAAAAGGATTGAAGAAAGCCAGGGACCAATATAGGTGCCCATTGGTTAGAGGTGTGATCTGCTGGCTGCACAGTTATCACCTCAAACTTCAAGTGCCAGTCGTTCAAAAGGTGGATAGCGCTATCCACCAGATAAATCTCTATCCACTGGATAGGGCAGCGCAATTGGTTTCCCCAATCCTTGTCCACTGGGTAGCGATTTATCTGGTGGACAGTGCCATCCATCTTTTGACGACCGGGGCCAGATCTGCAGGTCCATGTTTGAGACTTGCCGTTACATTGCTTCTATGGACAAAAAACTTTGCGTCACTTTGTCTCTCTTCACCCAGGTGTGTAAATTGCTTGGGTGGGGATGGAGGCCTTCACAAGGTTTACATACACCATTTTTGAAAGAAAAAAGGTACCGGCCTTCCACCTACCTTCTACTGACAAATGGTACCCCTTTCTCATACCTAGTTTAGAACTCTCTATCTGCACTGTCTTTTTGATATGAATAAATCAGAAAGTTTTCTTGTCTCTTTTACATCTATAAAATGTGTCTGTTAGCATAATTGAAAAAATGTAGCAAAATCTGAATTTTACTGCAATTTAAAAACTCTGAAATTGCATGGCTCCGCAGACAAGTACTGCTTGATATAACCTTCCATTTCACATTATATATTATTTCTGATTTAAACAGGGCTTACACTGTGTAAACATAAGTTAATATCTCAGCAGCTGAAAAGGTTCAAAAGTTGGTTGAAAAAGACTGGGAACCACACAGTGGGGCTCAGGCTTGTTTCTTTCCATGATGAGTATTGTAACACTGACTTGATCATTACAAGTGGGCGTCTAAAGCCGCCAGATACTTTGATGAAATCAGTTTGGGGACCACAAGATGTCTGCAATTTAAATAAATTCAAGTGTTAGTTAAGTCCTAACTTAAAGGGACCTCCCTAGAAAAGCTCAGCTAAGCTTGCAGAGATCTCCTGCTAATAGATTATGTTATGGATGCAATGCATTCGTAATTAAGTGCCAAAAATAAATAATACCCATCTCAGAGTCCAAAAAACCCTGAGGTGGAAGGTCTTCCTTATACAAGCCATAAAGGTATGTGCTGCCCCCGAAGGGTATGGTTTTTGCCCGGTTTTGGTCTGAAAACAGGTATAGACTTGGCCCGTTTTGGTCTAGATTCGGGTATTGTTTTCAAAGGAACTCAGTAGTGTATGAATGTACTCGTCATTTCAATTCCAATTGAAGAAGAAAGAAAGTGGGAATGGATTTTCAGAAATCTGTCTTTTGGCATTCTAATCTCAGTAAACAAGACATAATTTCTGTCTAATCTATGTAAACATGGGTGTTGCAATTATTTGTGACCACCTCCAGGTATGGACTTTAGAGGCCAGGTCTGAAAACGGGTGTGGAAAATGACATTTTTGGGTCTGAAATAGGCTGAGGATTTGGAGAACAAGGCAGCACGTCCCAATCAAGAATTCCCAGAATTCCCCCACCCCCCTCCCTCTGGAATTTACAACTTTCTTGTTTGTGAAAAGATTGGCTCAGAGAATTACATGGCCATTTAATAATTATTAAAAATTATTCTTATCTGATACTGCCTTCAGTTGGAAGGAATTTGTATCAGGCCACAGCATTAGCAAAAGTCAATTACTGGAAGAGCATTAGACCACATATTGAAAAGTATACTTAGTCTTACACATGGGTCAACCACACCGTCATAGACTGCATCACTGATACATGTTGATTCCATGTCTTACATCAGTCACATTGTAAAAATTTAAAAGTTTAGTTGTGGTAGTTTTGACTCCTATAAACAGCTCTATAGAGACAGGTCTCTTCAAGATCTGATAGTATGTAACACCTAATACCTACTGGGCCACCTCATCAACTTTTCAAAAGGCAATTTAGCAATCATTGTATTGGAGGTGTTTTAATTCTTACCTGATTGGCAAAAGAAACATAAGCAAAACTGGGAACACCATCTTGAGGTACGGCAATGGAGCAAAGCCAAATCCACACAGGACGGCCAGCTGCAGGAACTGTAAGGCTGTGTATATATGCATCTTCCTCTGTGGGACATGACGAATGTAGTGGTTTGGAGGGTAAGCAGCCTGCAAGAATTTTTAGGGCAAGTTTGTTATAATTTAATTAATTTTACAACGGCAAAGGCTGTTCTTGTACTTTTCCAATTTTAACCCTTTAAGCTCTAAGAGTGATCAGAGTCAAATTTCTCCTTGTAATATCAACGCTTTGTAAAACAAAGTGGTTATGAGAATTACAAACACGATCATGCAAGATAAATTTGCCTGATATTTTGTCAACTTCTTCCCACCATTTCTGTAACAAATGAATAGGGGCAACAAGTGAGAATTCAAATTTTGATTGTAGGGTTTAAAGGGTTAACATTCTCTTAGCCTGCATCGCAGATGTAATCTAAGCCCAGTTTGTAATGTCTGTGAAGCAGCACCAATATCCTAGTTCTAGTTCCAATGGATTCAACAAAATACCAAAAATGAATTTTGATATTCCCTTAAACCTGATTGGCATATCGACAGTGACTTTTTAACAGGCCAATCATGCATGCAGGTTAAGTTGAACTCAAATCCTGGTACACAGGGGGAATCCAGAACAAGGATCTTGGCACTGTTTTGCAGAGGGACTTAAACACATGTTCTATTTAGTTATAATGAAGCTGAATCACTACTATACCTCATGGACACCATACAATTCAGGCAGGAGAGGGGAATTCCACTGGTTAGAACCCCCAAAATTCTTAAACAGCTCACTATTCTAACTAGCTTTATCTATTCTTTTATCTGGCTTGTAGATACATAACCTGTGTTCTACCAGTATCCACAAATTCATAATAAATTCTTATTTTAAAACCATTTCCTAGTGCATAGTGGCAGTATTCAACAGCGCTTATTTTTTGTGAGCAATTATGGTAGAAGGAGACAAAAGTAGCTGGGTAAGGATGGCTAACTAACTAGCCGGCTGGCCGGCTACCCTTATTGACAGCCCTGCAAAAATTAATAGCGTCTGACAGGGCAAAATAGAGTAACTATATACACAGTTACATATCGGGTACTCAAGGTGTGAACACAACACCATTTTGTGCCGGTACCCAGCCACACATTCTTGGACACCAAGTGTGGAAAGCTCCCCAAAGAACTGACTCAGTAGCTGTATATTTAAGATTGCTGGCCAGAGTGGAAAGAGTTTGAGAGTTGACAGCATGTTTACCTGTTCTGTGATCAACAGCAATGCTCTCTCAAACATCTGGTTGCCATCCAATGCTGTTATGGCCATGAACAGGAACAAGCCATCAAGTACCATTGTGGGAATAAGAGTGAGTGGTGTTGGCAGCATCAGCAGGGAAAGTGCAATCATTAAATTGGAGATTAAACCAGACAATCTTGTTTCTCTGACTTTCACAATGCTGAAAATACATAAGTTCAGTACCAGAATGTTAAACTGGAAGGAATCATTGATAAATTGAGGTTATGTGTAACTGACCAACTACCCCACCCTTTAGTCACAATTTTACTGCCCTAAGTGAGAAGTAAGTGTTAATGTTGACTTAAGGGAGGGGAAGGTGGTCAGAATAATTCTGCTTGTAAGTTGTTTTCTTATTCTCCAAGAAGCCCTTCAAGATAATCCAGGCAGTCTGGCCACATGCTGGCAGAGATACAGAAGACTGTCACATGGGGGATGTTAAAACACACGCAAACAGTGTGTGGGTGCTTTAATGACTGCGACTACTTTTAAATGAAGAAGGGTTGTGAGTCACTGACTACTAATAATTTCAATGCTAATTTTATAACATCTTGCTTTGTATGACCAGAAATGTTGGCAACCTAGCAATTTGAAAGAAAGTAAAGAAAGTTTTTTTTTTTTGTAAACAAAATTGGAGGGGAAACTTACAGGATATATATGACAGGAATAGAAAACAATAACAAAAGCAACAAGACTAACAAAATGCTAAATGTGGATAGTTACAGATTTTTAATCATACATAGAGATCGAAGTGCTGATAGTAGCAACTCTAGGATAGGGAGAGATTTTGGGAGCCTAGTCTAGTCTAACATAGCAAAATTCTGTCAAACTAGGTGTGGTATGCCATATAGGCTAAGGGTTTCGGTGTCCCAGTGGCATATCCCTCCCTACCCAAATATTCCTAAAGTACCTCCCCTGAGTTCTAGTCTCACTTACATTTCAAACACATGACCTCTATCAACTCTCTCTTCAACATCAGCCAATGCTCTCACATGCAATGGTGAGTGAGGCAGGGCAGCGTGTACCCATGGCAGGCCAAATAGTGAGAGGAAACTGTTCACTACTGCCACCACAAATAAATCCCAATGATATGCACTGCCTTTCTTCAACCTAAAAGGAGCAAGTATTTAGAGTTGATTGGCGTCCTTTTACAATCTATTTCACCCATCTTGTTAGCGATTATTTTTAACATGCAAATATGAGACTTTACTGTTAAGCACTACGGCACTTATATTGCTGCACCAGCTGTTGGTAGGAGCTTGGCTCAAAGATCTTGTAAATTTGCATTCATTTGGGAGACCTTTAAGTCTCAGAGAGGTAGATCTTCTTGGAGATTTTAAGGCTGACCTAACTAAAATTAAGGAAAGTCTAAGGATGGCAGAGTATTGCAGTGGAGGCCCAGGGTGAGCTGAGATAAGTTTTAATTAGATCATGCCAGTCAGTGTCCTATCCATTCACGGGATGTGATTCTGCATCAGCAATAATAATTACATATGTACAAACTTACTTTAGGAAACTGCGCATTTCATGGTGGTGCCTCAAAACTCTGTGACCACTTTCCAGAACACATTTATTTACAATAGAAATAAGGATACAATCATAGGTTTGGAGTCAGCTCCAAAACACACCTCTTTAGATTAGCTTTAAATTTGATTAAATTTCATTATTATTTTATAGTGGGGTAGCATTTTCTTCCCTTAAATTTTATAAGCCAAAATTAGATTTATTGCAATGTTACTATTATAAGTGGAACTATTTTTAGCATGTGAGCATTATCCACATGAAGCTTGACACACCCAAGTCAAGTAAATCCAATTGGTTTACCCTTTGATCAGTTTAAAGGTTTGACCCCATGCATGCAGACAGCACCTGTTTCCAGGATTGTTGACCATAGCACTTGAAATGTTCTGATCCATGAAGAACAGCAATGAAAGAGAAAAGCCTAATCCCATGCCCGCGAACACGGCACCCCAGGTCAGCTTGTGAAGAGGAGCAGGGGCAAAGGCAAAGGAGTTGCTTGTTTGAAACTTGTAATCTGTTTCAACAACACAAGAACAAGAGTTAAAACAACATGCAAGTGGGTGCAAATTACTGACTCACAGTAGTTTTTGATACAATAGCCCTTTAAGCCCCAATATTCACACGCAAATTCTTGAAACCAATCCCCATACATTTGTTTAAAGGAACAGTTGAGAGAATTTGATAAAAGATCAAAGCCTTTTCCCTTTCGTAATCATTTTATTAACTCTCATAACCTTTTTGTCTTGATAGTGCATGAAAATTGTTAGAAGAAAATTGATGTTGGTCACTGTTGGGACTCACAGGGTTAGGAGTGTTAGGGCTCGGGCTTGATCAATATTAATACTCAATAATCCTTTTTTCGTAGCATGGAAATGTAAGAAATAAGTTTGAAACAAACAGAAATTATGAGTTGAACCACAAGGATAAAATTTCATCACTTGTCCCAGCCATACTTACTGTTGATGTCCCGCACAAAATATGAAGCAATGAGGGACATGACAAGAACAGCCACTACAAGTGCATAATCAGCCAGTGCTTCTCGTTTGCCAGCATCAAGAAAAGGACTGAAAGACAGGAATAAAATTGCCAGCTTAATGATATGTTGCTACTGTAAAAAAATAAATAATTATTATTTAGTTGTTCTTCATGGTTAGAGAAAATTTTCATTTAAATTGGTTCATACTGCCATAATTATGCCCACCCTTGTGGATCATCATGATCGTTCATGTTTCATCCACTTACAGCTGTGATTTAAAGCCTATCAGCCAGGGCAGCACATCCCAGTCTCTATATCAAGGAGCAACTAGCTCCACTTTCCCCTCCACCCCCTCCCTCCTCCCACTTCACATGCGAGTNAACCTAAAAGGAGCAAGTATTTAGAGTTGATTGGCGTCCTTTTACAATCTATTTCACCCATCTTGTTAGCGATTATTTTTAACATGCAAATATGAGACTTTACTGTTAAGCACTACGGCACTTATATTGCTGCACCAGCTGTTGGTAGGAGCTTGGCTCAAAGATCTTGTAAATTTGCATTCATTTGGGAGACCTTTAAGTCTCAGAGAGGTAGATCTTCTTGGAGATTTTAAGGCTGACCTAACTAAAATTAAGGAAAGTCTAAGGATGGCAGAGTATTGCAGTGGAGGCCCAGGGTGAGCTGAGATAAGTTTTAATTAGATCATGCCAGTCAGTGTCCTATCCATTCACGGGATGTGATTCTGCATCAGCAATAATAATTACATATGTACAAACTTACTTTAGGAAACTGCGCATTTCATGGTGGTGCCTCAAAACTCTGTGACCACTTTCCAGAACACATTTATTTACAATAGAAATAAGGATACAATCATAGGTTTGGAGTCAGCTCCAAAACACACCTCTTTAGATTAGCTTTAAATTTGATTAAATTTCATTATTATTTTATAGTGGGGTAGCATTTTCTTCCCTTAAATTTTATAAGCCAAAATTAGATTTATTGCAATGTTACTATTATAAGTGGAACTATTTTTAGCATGTGAGCATTATCCACATGAAGCTTGACACACCCAAGTCAAGTAAATCCAATTGGTTTACCCTTTGATCAGTTTAAAGGTTTGACCCCATGCATGCAGACAGCACCTGTTTCCAGGATTGTTGACCATAGCACTTGAAATGTTCTGATCCATGAAGAACAGCAATGAAAGAGAAAAGCCTAATCCCATGCCCGCGAACACGGCACCCCAGGTCAGCTTGTGAAGAGGAGCAGGGGCAAAGGCAAAGGAGTTGCTTGTTTGAAACTTGTAATCTGTTTCAACAACACAAGAACAAGAGTTAAAACAACATGCAAGTGGGTGCAAATTACTGACTCACAGTAGTTTTTGATACAATAGCCCTTTAAGCCCCAATATTCACACGCAAATTCTTGAAACCAATCCCCATACATTTGTTTAAAGGAACAGTTGAGAGAATTTGATAAAAGATCAAAGCCTTTTCCCTTTCGTAATCATTTTATTAACTCTCATAACCTTTTTGTCTTGATAGTGCATGAAAATTGTTAGAAGAAAATTGATGTTGGTCACTGTTGGGACTCACAGGGTTAGGAGTGTTAGGGCTCGGGCTTGATCAATATTAATACTCAATAATCCTTTTTTCGTAGCATGGAAATGTAAGAAATAAGTTTGAAACAAACAGAAATTATGAGTTGAACCACAAGGATAAAATTTCATCACTTGTCCCAGCCATACTTACTGTTGATGTCCCGCACAAAATATGAAGCAATGAGGGACATGACAAGAACAGCCACTACAAGTGCATAATCAGCCAGTGCTTCTCGTTTGCCAGCATCAAGAAAAGGACTGAAAGACAGGAATAAAATTGCCAGCTTAATGATATGTTGCTACTGTAAAAAAATAAATAATTATTATTTAGTTGTTCTTCATGGTTAGAGAAAATTTTCATTTAAATTGGTTCATACTGCCATAATTATGCCCACCCTTGTGGATCATCATGATCGTTCATGTTTCATCCACTTACAGCTGTGATTTAAAGCCTATCAGCCAGGGCAGCACATCCCAGTCTCTATATCAAGGAGCAACTAGCTCCACTTTCCCCTCCACCCCCTCCCTCCTCCCACTTCACATGCGAGTTCATTTCAGGCTTATACTAGTGGTATGTACCAGTACCTCCTGTACCATGAAGTCTTGTAACATGCCATACAACCCAGTTTTCCCTGTATTTGTTGATGCCAGTAAATGCTCCTTTTTACCGCGTTCTATACTTGGGAACAGTCTCCCATCTACCCTCTTTGCCCGTGTTTAAGGCCACAGTTTTAATTTATTTGTCATGACTGCCTATTGCCACAATTAGCCTGTTCTGTAAGCAATTAACTACCGGTAACTAAAAATTAAAAGTTAGTTTCCCTTTGTACAAATACAATGTAGGATGCAAAAACCAAGGGGAACAAAGTTTCTTGTCTTAAAGGAGACAATTGAGGAGCAAACCAATACAGATCTGAAGTTGCATATGGTTTCCTCTGAACCACCACTGACAGCTCCACACAGGTAGGATTCAGATAGAGTAAGAATTTACACATCACACACTCACCTCTTACGAAAATTGTACAGTGCAAGACCAATCCAAACAGTTGCTAAGCTTATCACGGCATAAGACAGGCCTCCCTCTCTGTGACACACTGAGATATCAGTACAGTTACTGGCTAACTGGTTGATGGCACAGCTGGTGGAATTCATCAAGGGATTTGAACAGTGAAGAGTTGAGTATTCTGCAATTAAGGCAGAATAGCATGTAACTCTCGTAGAATCATAAAAAGAGCAGAGGAATCCCTCAGGCAAAGTATTTCACTAACATTATAACAAGATAGACAAGATGCATTTCTGTCTGGAGATCTCTGGGTTAATATGTGTTTAGATACCTAATACAGAAACTGCCAGAAAATTCATCACCATATATAGCGTAATGGCTATCTAGGATAATATTACAACTCACATGTCTGACACTGGATGATATATAGAAATCAATATTATTCTTAAATCTTGTTGCAGCTTTTCTTTATTGCATTTATTTTATTGCCAACTGTATCCAATGTCCTTTTAGAGAAAACAATGGTTACTATGCAGTTGTAATTCACATGTCTAATACTTCTGCAAGTATAGGTGTATATACCCCCAGTAAATTAAAAATAACAGGGCATTTATAATGTTGAAACAGTTAAAAGCAAGGAAACTATACATTCATAGTTAAAATATTAGTGTATATGTATAGTCAGTCTTTCACTAAGACAAAAATTTTTTTCCTGTAAATTTACCTTTGATAACACTACTGATTGCATCAACTGTAAATGCAAGAGAGATGAACAAGGCAAAGATTTCTTCTGTTGACCTGAGCAACACAATGAAAAGTGTTGGTTATTTAAATGAAGTCTAACTTAGACTGCAGTTTAGGAAATCTTTGGACCTCCAGATCTCTTCCTTAGTGGGTAAGGTTATTTAAATGAAAGTCTAACTTAGACCACAGTTCACCAAATCTTTGGACCTCCAGATCTCTTCCTTAGTGGGTTATTTTAAGAAGACAAATGTTTTTCCAGTCTATGCTATATGCTTTCATGAAACAGTTCATGATAAATGGGGTTTACATAAAAAATAGCATTCGGGAAACCGAAAATGGCTTAGAACGCGGTTTTGTTAAACACTGGTTAATAGACTGCATTTTAATAACTAGCCCAAAGAGTTTGACAGTTATAAAATGAAATTTCACTCATTTAGTTTAAAGGGCATGAAATAAACTTAGATTCCAGTTTGTCTTTGGGGCAACCAGCTCTCACATTTTGTTTGCCTGTGGCCACTTCTTGTTCATCGTAATGATTTAGTTAGAAGTTGACTTATCCAGACCATTGCTGCTTGTGACTTTTTTTTTTAACCCAAACAATACATTCATAGTGAAGTAATTACAATATGTTCTTACCTTGTTGACCATTTCATTATCTGGGAAAGTCCAAATGTAGAATAAATAAAAAGGAAGAAGGAATTCCACAACCCAGTACAGGAATAAAGCGCCAAGAAATCCAAGTCAAAGTCTGCTGATATGTTGTAGATCACTAACAAAGCAAATGATCACGTTTCAAAATTATATTAATATTATTATTTCAGTTATGGTAACAGCAGCATTTATTCTGTATTTTAAAAAGTAAAATTTTGCTGTCATTTTGAGCTTAGGGGCCAATGTCATTTGTGAGTTAAAAGAGGTTGATCTAATCTGTTCCACTGCTGTTCATGTTGATGCATGCCTGTTTTTTTATAGGTCTTGGAGCTACAGTTGCAGTGTTTAGATTTGCAGTACATGTTTACAAGACCTGTAAGTAGCATTATGCAAACTTTTACGTATTATTCTACCTTCAACAGTGCAATTTGCAGGGCAAACAAATGATTCTGTTGTGTGACAGACTGACAGTGGCAAATATTTCAGTATAATGCAAAACACTTTTGTTTTGTGCTCCTTATTGGAATTAACAGAGCAGGGGAATTTTATAATCCTAAAGTAATCAGTAACTGTACATGAATAACTATCTGCCTTTGTATTGGGAGTGTTTGCTTTGAGAAAATCAACGGTTCATGCATGTACCTTTTATATACAGTGCCAGTGGGGCTGTGGTGAGCAAGACAATTAATGGCTGTCCTCCAAAAAGAGCAAATATCATTCCCCCAATTGCCTGTGATATAAAAACTTTCTGCACATCTATAAAGAAAATGATACAGAGCATTTTTGTTTAAGTTTAATAGCATGGCCAAGCAGTTGGGGCGATTGTAATCCAAAGGCCCCATGAGGTTCAATCTTTGCCCTGACTGCTAGCCAGATTTGTTCTCAGTAGTTCCGGGTATTCAGCTCCTCCATTATGCTTGTAAATAACCAACTAGTTTGCCTTCGGCCAATTGGGATTCTTAACCTTGTGGGCCACAATCAAAACTACTGGTTTACCAGTAATTGTGTTACCCTTAAAAAGTCAGTTTTTTTAATAGCAAAACTTGGGTGCCCATAGCCTAGGATTTACTAATTTAACAAACACATCTGAACAATTTCAAACTTACCAATCTGGCCTTTGGTGTTGCGACTGTTGAGTACACCAAAGGCAATTGAAGGTAAAATACAGGCAAAATACAAAAACAGTGTTGTAGACACCAACTTTTGAATGGTGCGATGACCAGTTATTCCTGTTGAGGTAGAAAAAATCTGCCTTACAAATTCTGAGATTAAGAGTTATATATAACCAATGACAGGGTTCCCCCCAAAAAAGCACTTTTGTATGAGAGAAGGGAGGGGCTGGTGGGGTAGGCATGGAACAGATTATTGCACCTTCCCATTGGAGGAGTGTGGGGGCTTCCTTTTGGCACATTTTAATTTTGGGGGTCCTGAAAAGCACATATATAAGTGTATTTTGATAAAGTGACCAGAGGAAGAACTTTAGGCATGAGGATGGCACCTTCTTTACCCACATTTGCTTTATTTTTACCACGTTTGTTTTCATCCATTGAAGTGTTAAGAAAAACTAATAGGACAGATTCAGGATTGTCATTAAGAGCCGGGGGCCGGGGATTTTCCCAGGCTACTAAGAGAGTGGTCCGCGGCTACTTTTACTGGAAAATAGAACAAAAATAGAACCAAAAGAAATCCCTAGTGGTTGATTCCCTGCCTACCTGTTGTATTTACCCGGCAACTTGAAATTTTAGTGATAACCCTGCAGATTTATTATTCTCTTTAATGTCCATGACGACTAGACTGCAATTTTTACCAGTGGATGGAGCTTACATGTAAAAGGAACCCTGCCCATTTGCACCTTGCCAGGTTTATAGGATCCCCTGAACCATCTGCAGTTGTTTATATGCTTTCTCTGATTTGCATCTAAGCCCTCAAAAATCAGGAGTCTTAATACTCACAATGAGCCTCAGAGAACAACCACAGTAAAATAATGGGAAGTTTTGTTTTGACTCACCATCCTTAAAATCTGATAAATAATGTGGCCACCTTCTTCTGAGGTCTCTGATAAGTCCTCGTCCAAAACTACACATTTCAGAGTCCTATTTTAAGGGTAAAAACAATAGCTTCATTAACGGGCTCCGTATAACATTGTCTGCATTGAATGTCTGCATCAGTGGGGATCACCCTCTTATCATGATGAACTGGGTCGCATGTCTCCATGACCCCTTCAGTTACTAATTTTTATGTTAGCTGCAGTCTTGTATTGCTGGTAGGGCCAACCACGCTGAACAGATTAATGGTAACTGGACAATGATGAAGTTTGATGAAGCTTGAAAAGTCACTTGTTACAGAAACCAATGAAGATGATGAAGTTTAAAAAGTCACTTGTTACAAATACCGATGGCCTTATGGGACCTCTGGCAAGGAGAGACATGATAATGATGAAGACTCAGGTAATACCGACTGTACATGTAAAGTAGATAAGCTTGGATACCTTTCTACTTTCTTTTTGATGAACAAAGGAGGATTTGGTATGAGATGTGGGCTGTCTCTTTGATGGCCTCTGCCTTGGCTGTGGCATTGATGAGAGCTTGTTGGCACGATCAACCAACACTTTCTGTAAAAGAAATTTAAAGAAAAGGACTGAAGAAAGCCAGGGACCAATATAGGTGCCCATTGGTTACCTCAAACTTCAAGCACCAGTCGTTCAAAAGGTGGATAGCGCTATCCACCAGATAAATCTCTATCCACTGGATAGCGCAGCGCAATTGGTTTCCCCAATTCTTGTCCCATGGGTAGCGATTTATCTGGTGTATAGCGCTATCCATCTTTTGAACAACCGGGGCCAGATCTGCAGGTCCATGTTTGAGACTTGCCATTACATTGCTTCTATGGACAAAAAACTTTGCATCACTTTGTCTCTCTTCACCCAGGTGTGTAAATTGCTTGGGTGGGGACGGAGGCCTTCACGAGGTTTACATACACCATTTTTGAAAGAAAAGGTACCGGCCTTCCACGTACCTTCTACTGACAAATGGTACCCCTTTCTCATACCTAGTTTAGAACTCTCTATCTGCACTGTCTTTTTGATATGAATAAATCAGAAAGTTTTCTTGTCTCTTTTACATCTATAAAATGTGTCTGTTAGCCCTGTTTGGTTCTTTCAAATACCAAGAGATTTCCGTAGCTAACCTCACATACTCCAACGTATGAAAACCCTACCCTTTTGAAAACCCAAACCCTGAAAAAGGTACCCCTTTTATTTGGAGCCTCCTGTTATGGACCATTATAGGGAGTTCCTCCCAGGTAAAGGGGTGACATACTGCTGGGGACAACCGTCACTATGGACTAACAGAATCCCATCCAGGGAGGAAAAAGCAACACACAGATTGCTGAAGTGAAAATTTTCTCTGTCCAGGGATTAGGGCAGAGAGGCCAAAAGAAAGGGAACACACAAGATATGGTGTGGTCTTGCCACTTCCCTGGCCCTTGTTACCAGTTTCCACTGCTAATTTCTCAGTACCAATAATATCAGTCTAATATGAATTGTGAATAAATAAGTAACAATAATATCATTACTTTGAACTGCTCCTCTGTCTCCACTTCTATTAGTAACTGTCTGGTCTCCATATCACAAAGCAGAGTTGCAAATGTTCTTCCTGTCTCTACTGAGTTCTTGGTTTTTTTCTTCAAGGAAAAGGAACATATTAGGAGAAAAAAATTGAATCAACATCAGCTTCATCACTGACCTTGCTATCAGTACCATCATTACAATTGTCATAATCAGTACCGCCACACATCATCACCATCATTCTCATCATTGCCAACAACAACATCATCATCAATATCATCAGCACCATAATCATCAGTTCCCCCACCACTATCATATCACCATTTTTATCATCACTGCCAACAACATTATTACCATTTTCATCATCACTGCCAACAATATCACCACCATAGAGTTCTAAAGTGATGACATCATAAAAATTAAATTTGTGAAATTATGGGATTTGTCAAGATTTTCTGAAAGAAATCCTTCTTAATCTGACTTGGGTCTAAATGTTTAGACCCAAGTCAAACTTAGAATGATTTGTATGGAGTCATCAGAGCATAAACCTGGGATTATCTCAGTGCTAGTTTTTTGCAAGTAGGCCTCTTGGGGATGTTGTTCTTTCAGAATATCCTGACATAAGTTTAATTTTTTTATGATGTCACACTGTAATACTCTATTATCATCACTGCCAATGTCACCATCAATGCCACCACCATCATCACCATTTTTCATCATCGCTGCCAACAGCATCACCACCATTATCATCCTCACTATTATAACCATCACTGCCACCAATGTCATCACTCCTAACAAAATCTTCACCATTATCATCAATAAACATTATTGCCATCACTGCCACCACCATTATCACCATCATTGCCATCATCATTACCCTCAATAATATCATCATCTCCACTAAAAACAGGTACTTACTGTTTTCCTTGGTGCAAGAACCAGTACCACTAAATGAGTTTCCTCTAATGTCCTTCCTAGGTTAACAGGATGCTTCAACTGAGCTATAGCAACATGACTCTGTTGTACTGATGGGAGCTCTCCTCTGTAACATTAAAACAAGTTACCCATTGGAACATGAGACCACAATGAACTGAATGATTCAATGTCTGTCTCATGACGCTAAACATCAGCTTTTGAAGCAAATTAATCACAACAATTAGTCTCGAGACCTGACTGGATATGGCAATACAAGGTTAAAACAATGTTTTTGTTTCACAGTCAAGGAATTTCATTTACGGCGTTGTCGTATATTGAAGTTTTGGGGTATAGCAGCTGGATCCGCCATAAAAAATTCTGAACTTACAGAGCAATGAGCCAATTCTGAGTTTCCTCCCAACCTCCTCCTTCAGATATCTCAGTGCCTTGAATTATTTGTGACAAACAATGAACTGCAAGAAAAAAAGGAACAGTACATCGTACAGTATGAATTATATCATTATGAGTTGTGGTTCAGTTTTATCCTTCTCTGTTTATTTTTCTGTCTCATTGTCGTACATTAACATTCCCTAAGACAAAGAAAAACTAAAATAAAACTTAAGATATAATAACACCATGACATATATGAGCAAAACGTATTTTTGCTAATGGTTTGAACCAGAAATCATCTGAGCACTCTTTTTCAGAAGTTGAAAAGCACCTAGACAATTTGCTGTCCATGAGCCAATACACATTATCGGTATTATACACTAGACAGAGATTTCCCCAGCACTTGCCAGGCTGGTGAAAATTTATTTTGTCTGACCTGAATCTTGAGTGAAAAAGGCAATTCTGGCATCTTCAAAATTTATGTCCTCATCTTCAGCATCAGTAATAATTTTCTTTAACATAGCATCAACAATCCCCTCTAAGCTTGTCTCTTGGAGTCCAAGAAGTAAAGTGGGCCGTTCAAGGAAAGTCTCAATATCTTTCGCTGCTCGGATCTCTTCAGAAAAGTTCTTAGAAACAAGTTTCTGAGAGGAAAATGAAGGAACAAAAATACAATGAATTCTAGTTTCTTTTAGTAAGTAACTCTCTCTCTTCTTGGCAATTGTTGCTTGTTACAAAACAAATTAAGGGAATGGGAATGATTACCTATCTAGAATTTAAAGACATTATTTTTCTTTTGAGTTGTAAAATCACTAGTCTTCTTCACAGCCATTTTTAGGCTCGTCACGCAACTTGTGTGGAGGAGCATTGCGTGACGAGCCTAAAAATGGCTGCGAAAGAGACTATAAAATCACCTGGATGCTTAAAATATGTGATCTTCATTTCCATGAAAGACATTGTTTCCGGTTTTACAATCCTACCATACAGCCATTATATAATCTTTTATCACTTGCAATGACAAAAAAGGGAATTATTTGATTTCACTCAGTCCTATTACCGGTAATTTTTTTGTTTTTATTGTTTGGTTTGCTACCCTGCGAACAACTTCGCAAATGCTAAAAGCCACACCAGAAATAAACCTCTGCTGGCAGGGTAGCGGTGTGCAAATAAATTCTTCATGTTTGCTTTTCTTTCTTGTTTTGTCTGTTTTAATATTTAATTGTTTTTGATATTTAATTTTTTAGATGTTGACATTGTGAGGGGCCTGATCAGCCTCATACTCAAAGAAAATTAAATGAGGATGTCATCTTTAACAAGACAGTAAAACATCACTCACCTGGTGATTTGACAGCATCAAAGAAGTGTCAGGACCATCTTCCTCAGCAGAATCTGAATATTAATTTTAAAGTTATTTAAATGAAGGCAGGGTTATTACGAAATAAAACATATCTTCAAACAGTAACTTTTCAGTTAATTAGGTTGCTAATGTTTCTTTTATTTTATAATTCATTCCTTATTATCCTAACCGTAGCTAACAACAAATAACAAAAATAGTGAAAAAAAAAACTGTCTGTGGGTAATTAGGACAATGCGAGATCTTGCTGTCAAAAGATTAGATAATACTGCCTAAACAATGTCTGGAGAACATTAAATACCACCAAGACAGTTTTTAAAATCAAGGTAAACCCAGACTAAATTTAATCGGTTGCTTACGTAATGCTGGAAAAGGTAAACACGTGGGCCACTCTGCAAGGCAAAATTTTTTCATTTTTTTTATTTTCCTAAAAGTGTACTAGGAAATACTTCCCTTTTTTCTACAACGTTTCGTTTTCGAAAGATCTCGCGTGAAAACTTTTTATTTAATTCGTTGTATGAAAGTCAAGCTTTCTTAAATTTGTGTTTTTTTACGAGCTGAATCGACATGTGGTAATCTACATGAGTACGACAATGAAGTTGCTCGCTCGGAAAATTGCTCCAGACAACACATATACCTATACGTAAACATACTCATTTCTTTGTTCATTGAATACACTGAGTACGTTAGTTCAGTAAATAAAGGAAAACCATCACCTTCAACTAAACTTGCTCCGGTCATTGTACCGTCACCCTGCAGCTGTGGTCCGCATTCCGGATGCAGCGCAATGATTTCCAAATCCTTGTCTTCGCCGTTTGAAATTACATGCATCGGGATAACTGTTAGGTCTGTTTCCCCTCTTCTTTCTCCTCCTTCTGTACTCCCTTTAAGAGCAGAACAATTATTCTCGTTGTCCTTTGCGCCATCTGAACTTTGAGTGAAGGGTTTATCCATGCTATATTTTCAGCTGTTTGAAACTAGCAAACAGATTTCAAGCCTTCAAGAGGGCGAAAGCAGTTCAAAAATCTCAACAAACTCCTCATTTCTAAACACATCACAGAAGTGAACACAAGCAGCTTTTAAAATGTTTTATCTAGTCAAAAGAGCGCCCGCTAGGTTATTATTAATAACCCGCATCTTGCCGCCATTTTATAAAGAAGCTACAATTCGCTATCTCTATTCTGATTGGCTGAGATTGCAACAGAAAACCAATCAAAGTCTTCACGAAAGGATTTGAAGTTTTTTTTTTTTCTTTGACATTTTTCATTTTTGATTTTTGTTTTACTTCCCAGTCAACAGCATATACCCAGAAAATATAACACAAAATTTTGCTTGGGATAAAATTTTGGCAGTCTGACATTTTTTCCACGAAAAGTGGCTGTCATATTTTGGGCCAAAAAAAAAAATTTTCCGCACATTCCAGGCAAGTTCTTCCCGTACTTTCTAGTGGTGTTTAAAATATAAAAAAAATATATATTTAAAGAAAACCAGTGTTTTGAACCATGGGTTATTTTTAAATCAATATTCAGTTTCTATCAAGTAACCATGAGATATTTAGACAATTAACTTTTTGGTAACCTTACGTAATAGCAGGATCATGAATAAATGTATCAGAGGCACCCACCGAGGCACAAAACGACTTTTTTTCAGTAAAATATAAACTGTTCGAATTAAGGAATAAATATTGCCTAGAAATTTAGAAAAAGTTCGAGAAAGGTTCTAAGTTTCTGGATAACTGTTTTATCAGTTTAGTTTTTCATCTATCCATCTAGTCTAACTTAGTCTACATCGAATCGACTGTCTAGTCTATCATTGCCAGAGCTCACAGGTTGCCCAGGCGTGATATGAGAGTTTCTATGGGAAATATTCAAGAGTTTGTATGGCAAATAAAACTTACATCAAATAAATGAACTAAGACCGAGGTGAAAGTCGTCAACAAACAGTGTATATATATATATATTGTTACCTGGTGTTGTTGCTTTTCTTTGAAGTTTCAGTACGATTTGAGCATTATAAGATCATCTGACTATTATGACTGTCAGTACCAGGTCAGATGATGCTATACCGGGGGGACCTCGATCAGTATTTGGGTATAGGTTAGCCGCTGAAGGTTTGAAACCTTGATCCTGTTTAGGACAAAAAAATCCTAAAATACATACGTACCCTGTTTAGGACAACACCCTCGATTTTGGCACTATGCATGCTGTTTACGCAAGTTTACGCCACAGGACGGCAAAATAGAAGAGGACAGCGAAACGCTTGCGTGTGACAAACGTGAAAGGGCGATTACTTGCGTGTTTCGTCGTGATCTTTACCTAACAACACTGTTTTCTGGTCTTTTACAAAAAGATCTGTTTAAAGGAGGGTGAAGTTTGGCAGAAAGCTTTTTCAAACAAAATTATTGTCACGTTTAACACACAAGGTTTGCCGGTTTAGGACGAACAAAATGCACCCCGTCATGTTTTAAAATCCTTCCTTGGCAAGTGCAATAAAGAAAATACACGTTCTTTTCATTGCTTTTGTGCATACTTGGAGTTCAAACAAATTTTATCTAGCAAATCAAATCAATCGTGCAGACGATACCCTGTTAATAAATAGGAAAAAACTGGCACGAAATTGTAAATCCTAGAGAGGTCAAAAACCATACCCTGTCCAGCGACACATCTCCGTATAGGCCATGCAAGGAAGTACATCCCCCGGGATATTTGTGCTCAAGTCATCCTGAAACTTCGTAGAAAAAGACCTTGAAAACTCTTGATTTTCCAAACAAACTCATACCTTCTACTGACAAATGGTACCCCTTTCTCATACCTAGTTTAGAACTCTCTATCTGCACTGTCTTTTTGATATGAATAAATCAGAAAGTTTTCTTGTCTCTTTTACATCTATAAAATGTGTCTGTTAGCCCTGTTTGGTTCTTTCAAATACCAAGAGATTTCCGTAGCTAACCTCACATACTCCAACGTATGAAAACCCTACCCTTTTGAAAACCCAAACCCTGAAAAAGGTACCCCTTTTATTTGGAGCCTCCTGTTATGGACCATTATAGGGAGTTCCTCCCAGGTAAAGGGGTGACATACTGCTGGGGACAACCGTCACTATGGACTAACAGAATCCCATCCAGGGAGGAAAAAGCAACACACAGATTGCTGAAGTGAAAATTTTCTCTGTCCAGGGATTAGGGCAGAGAGGCCAAAAGAAAGGGAACACACAAGATATGGTGTGGTCTTGCCACTTCCCTGGCCCTTGTTACCAGTTTCCACTGCTAATTTCTCAGTACCAATAATATCAGTCTAATATGAATTGTGAATAAATAAGTAACAATAATATCATTACTTTGAACTGCTCCTCTGTCTCCACTTCTATTAGTAACTGTCTGGTCTCCATATCACAAAGCAGAGTTGCAAATGTTCTTCCTGTCTCTACTGAGTTCTTGGTTTTTTTCTTCAAGGAAAAGGAACATATTAGGAGAAAAAAATTGAATCAACATCAGCTTCATCACTGACCTTGCTATCAGTACCATCATTACAATTGTCATAATCAGTACCGCCACACATCATCACCATCATTCTCATCATTGCCAACAACAACATCATCATCAATATCATCAGCACCATAATCATCAGCTCCCCCACCACTATCATATCACCATTTTTATCATCACTGCCAACAACATTATTACCATTTTCATCATCACTGCCAACAATATCACCACCATAGAGTTCTAAAGTGATGACATCATAAAAATTAAATTTGTGAAATTATGGGATTTGTCAAGATATTCTGAAAGAAATCCTTCTTAATCTGACTTGGGTCTAAATGTTTAGACCCAAGTCAAACTTAGAATGATTTGTATGGAGTCATCAGAGCATAAACCTGGGATTATCTCAGTGCTAGTTTTTGGCAAGTAGGCCTCTTGGGGATGTTGTTCTTTCAGAATATCCTGACATAAATTTAATTTTTTTATGATGTCACACTGTAATACTCTATTATCATCACTGCCAATGTCACCATCAATGCCACCACCATCATCACCATTTTTCATCATCGCTGCCAACAGCATCACCACCATTATCATCCTCACTATTATAACCATCACTGCCACCAATGTCATCACTCCTAACAAAATCTTCACCATTATCATCAATCAACATTATTACCATCACTGCCACCACCATTATCACCATCATTGCCATCATCATTACCCTCAATAATATCATCATCTCCACTAAAAACAGGTACTTACTGTTTTCCTTGGTGCAAGAACCAGTACCACTAAATGAGTTTCCTCTAACGTCCTTCCTAGGTTAACAGGATGCTTCAACTGAGCTATAGCAACATGACTCTGTTGTACTGATGGGAGCTCTCCTCTGTAACATTAAAACAAGTTACCCATTGGAACATGAGACCACAATGAACTGAATGATTCAATGTCTGTCTCATGACGCTAAACATCAGCTTTTGAAGCAAATTAATCACAACAATTAGTCTCGAGACCTGACTGGATATGGCAATACAAGGTTAAAACAATGTTTTTGTTTCACAGTCAAGGAATTTCATTTACGGCGTTGTCGTATATTGAAGTTTTGGGGTATAGCAGCTGGATCCGCCATAAAAAATTCTGAACTTACAGAGCAATGAGCCAATTCTGAGTTTCCTCCCAACCTCCTCCTTCAGATATCTCAGTGCCTTGAATTATTTGTGACAAACAATGAACTGCAAGAAAAAAAGGAACAGTACATCGTACAGTATGAATTATATCATTATGAGTTGTGGTTCAGTTTTATCCTTCTCTGTTTATTTTTCTGTCTCATTGTCGTACATTAACATTCCCTAAGACAAAGAAAAACTAAAATAAAACTTAAGATATAATAACACCATGACATATATGAGCAAAACGTATTTTTGCTAATGGTTTGAACCAGAAATCATCTGAGCACTCTTTTTCAGAAGTTGAAAAGCACCTAGACAATTTGCTGTCCATGAGCCAATACACATTATCGGTATTATACACTAGACAGAGATTTCCCCAGCACTTGCCAGGCTGGTGAAAATTTATTTTGTCTGACCTGAATCTTGAGTGAAAAAGGCAATTCTGGCATCTTCAAAATTTATGTCCTCATCTTCAGAATCAGTAATAATTTTCTTTAACATAGCATCAACAATCCCCTCTAAGCTTGTCTCTTGGAGTCCAAGAAGTAAAGTAGGCCGTTCAAGGAAAGTCTCAATATCTTTGGCTGCCCGGATCTCTTCAGAAAAGTTCTTGGAAACAAGTTTCTGAGAGGAAAATGAAGGAACAAAAATACAGTGAGTTTTAGTTCCTTTTCGTAAGTAACTCTCTCTTTTGGCAATTGCTAGTTACAATACCAATTAAGGGAATGGGAATGATTACCTATCTAGAATTTAAAGACATTTTTCTTTTGAGTTGTAAAATCACTAGTCTTCTTCACAGCCCTTTTTAGGCTCATCACGCAACTTGTGGGGAGGAGCATTGCGTGACGAGCCTAAAAATGGCTGCGAAAGAGACTATAAAATCACCTGGATGCTTAAAATATGTGATCTTCATTTCCATGAAAGACATTGTTTCCGGTTTTACAATCCTACCATACAGCCATTATATAATCTTTTATCACTTGCAATGACAAAAAAGGGAATTATTTGATTTCACTCAGTCCTATTACCGGTAATTTTTTTGTTTTTATTGTTTGGTTTGCTACCCTGCGAACAACTTCGCAAATGCTAAAAGCCACACCAGAAATAAACCTCTGCTGGCAGGGTAGCGGTGTGCAAATAAATTCTTCATGTTTGCTTTTCTTTCTTGTTTTGTCTGTTTTAATATTTAATTGTTTTTGATATTTAATTTTTTAGATGTTGACATTGTGAGGGGCCTGATCAGCCTCATACTCAAAGAAAATTAAATGAGGATGTCATCTTTAACAAGACAGTAAAACATCACTCACCTGGTGATTTGACAGCATCAAAGAAGTGTCAGGACCATCTTCCTCAGCAGAATCTGAATATTAATTTTAAAGTTATTTAAATGAAGGCAGGGTTATTACGAAATAAAACATATCTTCAAACAGTAACTTTTCAGTTAATTAGGTTGCTAATGTTTCTTTTATTTTATAATTCATTCCTTATTATCCTAACCGTAGCTAACAACAAATAACAAAAATAGTGAAAAAAAAAACTGTCTGTGGGTAATTAGGACAATGCGAGATCTTGCTGTCAAAAGATTAGATAATACTGCCTAAACAATGTCTGGAGAACATTAAATACCACCAAGACAGTTTTTAAAATCAAGGTAAACCCAGACTAAATTTAATCGGTTGCTTACGTAATGCTGGAAAAGGTAAACACGTGGGCCACTCTGCAAGGCAAAATTTTTTCATTTTTTTTATTTTCCTAAAAGTGTACTAGGAAATACTTCCCTTTTTTCTACAACGTTTCGTTTTCGAAAGATCTCGCGTGAAAACTTTTTATTTAATTCGTTGTATGAAAGTCAAGCTTTCTTAAATTTGTGTTTTTTTACGAGCTGAATCGACATGTGGTAATCTACATGAGTACGACAATGAAGTTGCTCGCTCGGAAAATTGCTCCAGACAACACATATACCTATACGTAAACATACTCATTTCTTTGTTCATTGAATACACTGAGTACGTTAGTTCAGTAAATAAAGGAAAACCATCACCTTCAACTAAACTTGCTCCGGTCATTGTACCGTCACCCTGCAGCTGTGGTCCGCATTCCGGATGCAGCGCAATGATTTCCAAATCCTTGTCTTCGCCGTTTGAAATTACATGCATCGGGATAACTGTTAGGTCTGTTTCCCCTCTTCTTTCTCCTCCTTCTGTACTCCCTTTAAGAGCAGAACAATTATTCTCGTTGTCCTTTGCGCCATCTGAACTTTGAGTGAAGGGTTTATCCATGCTATATTTTCAGCTGTTTGAAACTAGCAAACAGATTTCAAGCCTTCAAGAGGGCGAAAGCAGTTCAAAAA